CTGCCTCCCAGGTGGCCTCAGCAGGAAGCTGGATTGTCAGTGGAACAGCCGGGACTGGAACCTGCATTCCAATAGGGGATGTAGGTGTTGCAAGCGGTGGCTTAAAACACGCTGTGCCACAGCACCTGTGCCCACACCCCCATCCCCAAGTCCTTTATCAAATAGTCCATGAACAGGAAAGCGGGCGCTGGGGCTGCCCAGGTTCCCGGCTGGGCCTGGTGTTGAGCAGGTGCGGGGAGGCTACACAGGGTTGTGGGGCGGGGGGAGCAGTGAGGTCAGGCGGGGCGCCCAGAGCCTCTGTGTGACTTGCGCGCGGGCAGCAGGGTCGCTGCTGTGCAGTGTGGTGGCTGAGACGGAGCAGGCTTCGTGCTGTGCATGGAGGTTGCTGAGCAGACGGCAGAAACCCGGCCTTGGCTGGTGCGCAGCACCCTCCCAGCTGGGCCCCACTCCCCTTGCTAATCCCCTTAGAGGCCCGCCTTCCTGCAGGGGCCAATCAAGTTAGAGCGTGAAGGAGGATTAACCGCGAGAACATGGGGTCCTGACCTTGGCTTCCCGGGCCCTGGCTGAGGATAGGCAGAATGTGCAAAAAGGGCGGCTGGTGCCGGGCGCCGGGGGCTGGGGTGGAGCCCACGTCTGAGTGTGGGCCTGGCTGCACCTTGTCTTCCAGGGAAGGTGGCTGCTGGTGTCTCCAGGGTGCTGCCAGACCCAGTGGAGGCTGGTGCCAGTGGAAGCCCACCAGCTCGGGCCCTTGATCTTGGGCGATGGGGTGCAGGCTAGGTGGGGGGACCTCTGCCTTACCTGCAGCCCTCCAGGGAAAACTCTAGGTGGTTCCAGGACAGTGGCCTCCCATGGTGCAGAACCAGCCTGTCTGGCTGAGCCCCTGCCTTCCCTGCTTGGCACATGGCCTAACTTCTTGTCTTGGTCAGGAAAATGCAGCGGGATTGGGGAGGGACAGTCACGTAAGGTGCTCTTGAGTCCAGTTCAGCTAAAAATGACTGCAGTACCCCAGGCTGCAGGACACAGCACAAGCAAAAACAAGCCTGTGCCCTTGGGAGGGTGTGCCCCATAGGCGAGGTGGACATTAACCAAAACCAGCGATTCGGGCCACCTGAGTTTCTGGATAATCTCTGGTCATCCTGGGGCAGAGCCTGCATGCTCTCTGCTTGGGTGAATGGCTGTCACTGGGCAAGGAGTGCGGCGAATACCAGATGCAAGTGGAGGCGGGGAATTTTATTCCAAAGGATTCAGGAAAGATGAGAAAAGCGTGAACCAAGGAAGAAGTCAATTGGGGCCAGAATTTGAGAGTAGCTTTGAATTTGCCATGTGGAGGCGGCCACGTCCAGGGACGGCTTCTGGCGCCCTCTAGTGGCCAATATGGAAACAACAGAACCTGCAGGGAAGGAATTGATCTGTGTTCAGGGCAGGACAAAGGCCTGGCTTTTCTTGTGTTGCTGAATGGAGGTCTAGTTCAGAAGCCAACCTATGTGAAGTCACATAGGCGCCTCCAAACCTCTGGGTGGCAGGTGTTTGTGTGCCCCTTTAACAGAGAAGGAGCCCGGAGCTGTCCGCCCCATAACCTCCCTGGACCCCGGCTGGTGAGTGACAGGAGCAGGAGCTGAATCCTCACTTCCTGCTGTGCGGTGCAGCCCTTTCCCCTGGCACCTTTGCTGCGTGTGCCAGTTTCTTTTAATTTGAGTGAGTGAGAGAGAGGGAGAGAGAGCGAGCTTCTCTCTACTCGCTCACTCCCCCAAATACCCGCAACAGCCAGGACTGCGTCAGGCTGAAGCCAGGAGCCGGGAACCCAATCCACACCTCCCACGTGGGTGGCGGGGACCGCACTGCTGCCTCCCAGGGTGTGCATCGGCAGGAAGCTGGGGGGAAGGAGGGGAGTGCGTTCAGACCCAGGCACTCTGATGTGGGATGTCTTAACCAGCCGGTGTCTTACCCAGCGCCGTTGCTGCCAGGCATCGCCACCCCCCTCCCCCAGCACGCTGCACTTTCCTGAGACTTCTGTTTGCCTCTGTGTTAGGGGCTGGCCTCTCCTGGGGTCTGATTCATTAAACAGTGGGCACCACTGCCTGATGGGACATGGGTCAGCCCACACCCACCCGAAGCCCCTCATCTTAGGGTGTTGGGAGGCGGTGTTGGCATCCCCTCTGTCTTTCCCCTGTAGGCTTCAGTGCCCCTGTGGGCTGTCCCATCACCTGCCTGGCCGCCTGACACCTGCCAGCTGCTCCCGCCACGCCCTGACCCTGCCAGGCCCGGACAGGTGTCCACACCCCTGCACAGAGTGCAGCGCCCCTCCTCTGTCCCTGCCCTCCTCCCCCTCCCCCACTTAGCTCCTGGGTGAGTCCTTGGAGAACTGCTTTTCCTGACTTGCGCTTCGATGCAACGCTATTATAAGAAACAGACACTCAAACCCCATTAATTATACGGACCAACATTATTGATTAGGTCACACTATAGTTTTCTTATGAAGACTCCTGGGAAAATTCTTGGCTTGTTCTAGTGCCAAAGCATCTGTACTTCTCAGAAGTGGATACTTTTAAATTTACACAAATACAAAGGAACTTTAAACGGCATGGAAATGGAATTAAAAGATAAGTTTATTTTGATGCAAAAACTTTTAAAAAAAAGATTTATTGATTTATTTGAAAGGCAGAGTTATGGAGATAGGGAGAGTTGGAGTGAAAGAGAGAAAGAGGTCTTCCATCCACTGGTTCACTCCCCAGATGGCTGCAATGGCCAGGGCTGGGCCAGGCCAAAGCCAGGAGCCAGGAGCTTCATCCAGGTCTCCCACGTGGGTGGCAGGAGCCCAAGCACTTGGGGCAGTCTCTGCTGCTTTCCCAGGCCATTAGCAGGGATCTAGATTGGAAGTAGAGCAGCCAGGACGCAAACCAGTGCCCATATGGGATGCCAGCATTGCAGGCGGTGGCTTTACCCACTGTGCCACAGCACCAGCCCCCATACATTTATGTTTTAATTCTGTTTTCCCGCAGACTTTTGAAATCCTTTGTATTGTGTAAACCGTCGACTGCCTGATTCCCTTCTGCACACTGGCAGGTGCGCGGCTCACGTGGCGCCTGCTTCCCGGGTGCCACCATCGATTTTTCCCTCTCCTTTGCCCCATTTTCGCATCTGCTCTCTCGCTGTGAATCCCCGTAAGCCACCTCAAAGCCTTTCTGGAACAAGGTTGGGTCTTGATCGATGAGCCAATCAATATCAAGAAAAAACCTCCCTCGCAGGGCTGTGGTGAGGATTAAATGGAATAATGGATGTGAGTGCTGGCCCGGAGCTCCTGGGGGACGTGGCCAGAGGGCAAAGTGCCGGCCTGGCCGAGACCAGCGTCCCCCTGGGGGGCCCGCCTCCCCACGTGCCCCCCGCCTGCCCGAGCATGCGGGCGCCGCCGCCATGGCCAGCAGCCCCCTGCCCTGTCTTGCCCCTGGCTCCCTGACTCCCTGTGTGCGTCTGTGCCGCCCGCCTTCCCCGCCGCCCTGAGACCCAGCTCCTTGCTGGGTGTGTGTCTGACCTGTCGGGGCTGCTGCGACAGGCGCACTTCTCACGGTTCTGGAGCCTGAGATCCCGGAGCTGGGAGATGCCTGTGCCTGGTGGGGTCACCTTCCAGGGTTAGCAAGATGCCTTCTCGCAGCACCCTCAGGCGGGGGAGCCGAGGGCAGGGTGGGTCTCTGGGGCCCCTTTTCTAGGGGCGCTGATCCCATTCATGAGGACTCCGCCCTCACGCTCACCCCGACACGTCACATTGGGGATCAAGTGTCTGACAGGTGACACAGACATCCCGACAGCGTGGGCCATGGCCATGCCAACTGCCCCAAGGCACACGGCAGAGAAAGGACACGGAGCCGGCCGGGTTCTGCAGGGCCACCCGCCTTCACGGCCTTGAGAGCATGGCAGAGGCAGGCTCCAGGGCAGGTGGCCCGGGGGGCCCTACTCTGGTCTAACCTCAAAGGAATTACTGAACTCCAAGTTCCCGCCTCAGCCAAAGGGGCTGGCTGCCAGCCGCCACGCGGGGGCCTGAGTGCCTGGGTTCATGTTCTGGGGCCTCCCGCAGCTGTGGCTGGGAGGCCTGGAGGAGATGCTGTAAGCTCTCTGGGCCGCCTTTCCTGCCCTTGTGCACTAGGCTCGTGTTCACTAACCACAAGGTTGGTTCGAGGATTGAGTGAAGCTTGCGGGGCAGCGCCAGCCTGGGGGTTGGGACACAGCTGCTGCCAGCACTGTGATCGGAGCAGGCAGGGAGGGGTGTTTGTGAGCACCTGTGGGTGCCAAGGAGGCTGCTGAGAGAGGGAGGGAGAGGCAGGGGTCTGGTGCCGGGGGCCCGGTCCTCCCAGGAGAGCCGGGGAAGCATCTGGATGGCCTGCTGCTCGCTGAGCCTCTGCAGTGCCTCCTCCCTGGCGTCAGAATTCGTGGGGAAGGCGAGGAAGTCCCAGAGGGCAGCAGCGGGCAGGGGTCAGCATGGCCGTGAGGCCCCTCCCCTGACGCACCCCAGGCTCCAGGCTCCGAGAGGGTCCCCGGGAACCTGAGATGTGGAGTCGGATGCAGCCCCGAGGTCCAGGCCTGCCCGGCCACCCCTGGCTGGCTCTCTCTCTGCCCGGGTCTCAGCTCCCTGAGCAGGGAAACAGCCGAGCCTCAGGAGCACTCGCCGCGTCTTTGCTCCTTGGCAGCCGGGTGCGGTGCCGTGCCTGCAGGGCTGAGCTGGCCTCGCGGGGCTGGCGGGCTGGCGGGGGTCTGGCAGGGCTTCTCCCTGCCCTGTGCTTCTCCCTGCAGCTGCAGCCGCTTTGCCCCAGGGGCAGGTGGCCGGGACTCTCCATCTTCATTCATTCGTTGCTCATTGCTGACCCAGCTGCCAGCTGGGCCTTGTCCCAGGTGCTGGGCTCTGGCCCTGGCCGCTCAGGCCCTCTGGCCCCCCCAGCTCCCTGGCGCCGCCCCGGCCCCTGGGGAGTGTCCCTTCTGAGTGTGTTTCCCTCTGCCTTTGCTCCCACCAGGGACCTGAGTGAGAACGCCATCCAGTCCATCCCCAGGAAAGCTTTCCGGGGCGCCACCGACCTCAAGAATTTGTGAGTACAGCCCTGGGAAGGGGAGGGTGCGGGGGTGCAGGGGGGCAGGGGTGCAGCGTCAGCCCTGGCAGCGTCCTCGGGGGTCTTGCTGAGCTGTGTGGTCCAGGCCACCAAGGAGCTGACCCCGACTCTGAAATGGCTGTGGCAGCATGGGCTTCTGGAACGGTCCAGGACTGGAGGGAACAGGCAGCCCCTGCCTCTCTCCCGAGTGTGGTGCAGTGCGAGAGCCAAGCAGCTGCTGGGGGGGGGGCTTGTGGGGTGCACAGCGGGTGGTCCCGGCTGCTTAAATGCCCTGACCCCCACCCCTCCCCATTTCTGGATTGGGAGAGCCAAGTCTGAGTGTTCCCGTCAAGTTACATATTGTACGTCTCACTGCTGCAAGTCAACTCACTTCACCAAACCCTGATATACTGTTCTGGAGAACGTGGATCAGCAGGGCTAACTCACAGGCTTGTTCTGAGGTTTACAAGAGATACGGAAAAGCACTCTGTCAAGTGTCATTTCAACCTGATGCTTCATCCCTGTCGTTCGGGTTTCTTCTGGCCCAGCATAGCAGCTCCTTGTGGTCTGCCTGCACCAGGATTGCAGTCACCTGGTGTGCGTGCTGCATGCCCCTTCTCCTGCCTCTGGCAGACATTGGTAATCGAATGCCCCTTCTCAGGCCTCTGGCAGACATTGGTAATCGATCACTGCGTCCTTTCCCACAGAGCTCAGGTCGCAGCTTGAGTGTACTATGATGTCAATCTCGTCTGCTCTTGGGCTGAGCCTCTGCCGCCACCACCCTGTCACGCTGTGTCATTTCCCAGCTGCCAGCACCGTCTAGGTGGTCTCCAGTGTGTGGGGGCGTGCAAGCCTCCTTAGAGGAATATAGCATCGCTTTTACTTCTATTTATTGTTTTAACTGAAAGCAGGAACAAGTGCAAGCTTTTGTTTTCCTGACCGAGAGGAATCACTGTGTGGGTTGAGATGTGGGTGCCTAAGGGAGGGGGCCCTGACTCTTTTTTTCTTTAAGATTTACCCATTTGGCCAGCGCTGCGGCTCAATAGGCTAATCCTCCGCCTTGCGGTGCTGGCATACGGGTTCTAGTCCCAGTTCTAGTGCCGGATTCTGTCCCGGTTGCCCCTCTTCCAGGCCAGCCCTCTGCTGTGGCCAGGGAGTGTAGTGGAGGTTGGCCCAAGTGCTTGGGCCCTGCACCCCATGGGAGACCAGGAGAAGTTCCTGGCTTTGGATCAGCGCGGTGCGCCGGCCACAGTGCGCCGGCCGCGGCAGCCATTGGAGGGTGAACCAAGGGCAAAGGAAGACCTTTCTCTCTGTCTCTCTCTCTCACTGTCCACTCTGCCTGTCAAAAAAAAAAAAAAAAAGATTTACCCATTTATTGATTGATTTTTTTGACAGGCAGAGTTAGAGAGAGAGAGACAGAGAGAAAGGTCTTCCTTCTGTTGGTTCACCCCCCAAATGGCGCGCTATACTGATCTGAAGCCAGGAGCCAGGTATTATTGATTTAAAAGCAGCAGGACAGAAGAGGGGAGACACAGAGAGAAAGAGAGGTCAGTCTTCTACTGGTTCATTTCCCAGATGCCCATAACAGCCAGGGGTGGGCCAGGCTGGCACCAGGAGCCCAGAACTCAGCATCCAAGAATCCTGTGAGAGTGGCAAGAACCCAAGCACGCTGGGCCGTTCTCCACTGCCTGCCAGGCGCATTAGCAAGGAGAGAGAATGGGAGTGGAGCCGCCGAGACCCTGACGTGGGATGCACAGGTCTCAAGCTGTGGCTTATTCCAAGGTGCTGCAGCTGCTGCTGGCCTCTTTTTTTCTTTCTTTAATATTTATTTTTTTTTTTGAAGGGCAGAGTTACAGAGGGGGAGGAGAGAAACGGAGAGCGATCTTTCATTTGCTGGTTCACTCCCAAAAAGGCCACAACAGCCAGGGCTGTGCCAAGCTGAAACCAGGAGCCTGGAGCTTCATCCAGGTCTCCCATGTGGGTGGCAGAGGCCCAAGCACAATGGTCGTCCTCTGCCGCTTTCCCAGGCACACTAGCAGGGAACTGGATGGGAAGTGCAGCAGCGGGGACCTGGACTGGTGCCCACGTGGGATGCTGGAATCACAGGCAGCGACTTTACCCACTGTGTCACAGTGCCACCCCCCCATTTTGACAGGCAGAGTGGACAGTGAGAGAGAGAGAGAGAGAGAGAAAGGTCTTCCTTTTCCATTGGTTCACCCTCCAATGGCCGCGGTGGCCGGTGCACTGCAGTTGGCGCACTGCGCTGATCCAAAGCCAGCAGCCAGGTGCTTCTCCTGGTCTCCCATGGGGTGCAGGGCCCAAGCACTTGGGCCATCCTCCACTGCCCTCCCGGGCCACAGCAGAGAGCTGGACTGGAAGAGGGGCAACCGGGACAGAATCCAGCGCCCCAACTGGGACTAGAGCCCGGTGTGCCGGCGCCGCAGGTGGAGGATTAGCCTAGTGAGCCGTGGTGCCGGCCCTCTTTTGTTTTTAAAACTGAGTTCTGGGTCAACACGTTTGGACGCCCTGTGCCGGGCACTGCACTGTACCCTCTATAGCTTCCTTTGCTTCACAGACAGCTGGACAAGAACCAGATCAGCTGCATTGAGGAGGGGGCCTTCCGGGCTCTGCGGGGGCTGGAGGTGCTGTAAGTAAGACGCCAGAGGGGTGGGGGCTGGGGGAGCCCCGCTGATGCAGATGCTGAGGCGTGGGGAGGTGGGAGCCGGGACACAGCCAGGGAGAGCTGCTGGGCGACAGTCAATGCAAGCATGGGGGGACACGAGGTCAGTGGGGCACCTGCAACTGTGGGGCCAGGCTCAGTCTGCTCAGCGTGAAGCCCAGGAGAGTTTCTGACACCCGGGGCTGGACCCTGTCCCCTCTGACACCCGGGGCTGGAATCCTGTCCCCTCTGACACCCGGGGCTGGATCCTGTCCCCTCTGACACCCGGGGCTGGAATCCTGTCCCCTCTGACACCCGGGGCTGGATCCTGTCCCCTCTGACACCCGGGGCTGGATCCTGTCCCCTCTGACACCCGGGGCTGGAATCCTGTCCCCTCTGACACCCGGGGCTGGATCCTGTCCCCTCTGACACCCGGGGCTGGATCCTGTCCCCTCTGACACCCGGGGCTGGATCCTGTCCCCTCTGACACCCGAGGCTGGATCCTGTCCCCTCTGACACCCGGGGCTGGATCCTGTCCCCTCTGACACCCGGGGCTGGAATCCTGTCCCCTCTGACACCCGAGGCTGGATCCTGTCCCCTCTGACACCCGGGGCTGGAATCCTGTCCCCTCTGACACCCGAGGCTGGATCCTGTCCCCTCTGACACCCGGGGCTGGATCCTGTCCCCTCTGACACCCGGGGCTGGAATCCTGTCCCCTCTGACACCCGGGGCTGGAATCCTGTCCCCTCTGACACCCGGGGCTGGAATCCTGTCCCCTCTGACACCCGGGGCTGGAATCCTGTCCCCTCTGACACCCGAGGCTGGATCCTGTCCCCTCTGACACCCGAGGCTGGATCCTGTCCCCTCTGACACCCGGGGCTGGATCCTGTCCCCTCTGACACCCGGGGCTGGATCCTGTCCCCTCTGACACCCGGGGCTGGATCCTGTCCCCTCTGACAGCTGGGGCTGGATCCTGTCCCCTCTGACAGCTGGGGTTGGATCCTGTCCCCTCTGACACCCGGGGCTGGAATCCTGTCCCCTCTGACACCCGGGGCTGGATCCTGTCCCCTCGGACACCCGGGGCTGGATCCTGTCCTCTCTGACACCCGAGGCTGAATCCTGTCCCCTCTGACACCCTGGGCTGGAATCCTGTCCCCTCTGACACCCGGGGCTGGATCCTGTCCCCTCTCCCTCTGGAGGCCTCACCCCCCACCCGTGCTCCCCAGCATGGGACACATGAGACCCCCAGCCCCTCACGCCCCTGCTCCGTGTGCCCCTGGCCTGGCAGACTGGAGGCTCTGGCTCACGGTCACTGTCCCAGCCCAGGGCTTTCCCCATAGGGTGGGTCTGCATCTCCTGCCCCTCCCGCGTGGCCTCTCATGTCCAGCCCAGTGCACCTGCTGCGAGAACCTCCCCAGAGGTTAGCAGGGGCCATGTCCCACGTCGGTAACTGGCTGTGGGCGGATGCCACAGGAGCCCGTCCTCCCTTTCAGGACCCTGAACAACAACAACATCACCACCATTCCCGTGTCCAGCTTCAACCACATGCCCAAGCTTCGGACCTTGTGAGTCAGCCCTGCAGCGGGGGAGGGGCCGGGCTCCCCCACCCTCCAGAGGGCAGTGGGGGTGGGGGCGGGGGTGGGGAGGCTCTCGCTGGAAACCTGCAGGCGGCCTGAGTGGCTTCTGTTTTGTTTTTCCTTGGGAACAAATGTGGTTCTGTGTTTGGAAGCGAGTCAGGTGGTTAGGGGCGGTGGGTCTGAGTGAGCTCGAGGATCTGACGTGTGCCCAGAGAGTGCCTGGGAGGGAGGAGGGGGAGACCGTGGGAGCCCCACAGCTGCGCAGTGGGCAGAGCGTGGGCTGTTCCCCGGCTGGACGTGGCCTCTGGGGCTGGCCTCCTGCCTGGGGCAGGGCCTCCACTGTTGGCCTGGGGCCGGGGTCCAGGTGGGTTGTGAGCCACTCTGTCCCCTGCAGCCGCCTGCACTCCAACCACCTGTTCTGCGACTGCCACCTGGCCTGGCTCTCGCAGTGGCTGAGGCAGCGGCCGACCATCGGGCTGTTCACCCAGTGCGCGGGCCCCGCCAGCCTGCGCGGCCTCAATGTGGCCGAGGTCCAGAAGAATGAGTTCAGCTGCTCAGGTGGGTGCAGAGTACATCCGGGCTCCTGGCTGCCCTGCCCCTGCCCGCCCGTCACCACCGTGACTGTGCAGGAACCCCGCCCCCTCCATCGCCTCCTGTCCTCCCCCACTGCCTGCCCACCCATCAGCCCCTCCTGTCCTGCCCCTTGGCTGTCTGCTCCCACCCTGTGCCTCCCCACAGGTGCTCTCCTGGCCCCTCCCTGCTCCCCTGCCCTCCTATCACAGCTTCTCCTCCTCCTCTGCCTCACCCTGTACCTTGACAAGTCACTGACCATGACCTCTGACCTTTGGCCCAGGTGTGGTGGCCCCAGAGCCTGTGCCCCTACCTTTCCCCACTGGGGCCCCTCACTGCCTCCCTAGCCCCTTCCCTCTCCATACAACAGCCAGAGGAGCCGCAAAGAGCCCACGAGACCTGGTGCTCCTGCCTCATGAGCTCACCCCAGCCCCCAAGGCGCCTGTGGGAGTCGGAGCTGCCCAGCCTCACCCAGCGCATCCCAGCCTCGCCCCCTCTCCCTTCTGGGGCAGCTGCCCCCCAGCAGCCTCTCACAGGCTGCCCTGCAGAGCCCAGGGAGCCTTCTCGGCCCAGATGGGGTCCCCTGGAGACTGTCAGTTGCGTGGGCATGTGGGGTGCTCGTGTCTGTGTCCTGGCCTGCACGTGGCACACAGACGGTCAGGAGGTGTTAGACTCATGGCGGAGGACCGAGGGGTGCCGATTTCTCCAAGCCTGTGGGCTTAGCCCTGGCAGGCACACAGGGCTCGGAAGGAAAACAGCCATCACTCGGCCCCCTCGCCTCAGTGTGGGGCTCTGGGCTGTGGCTGCTCCTCCCCTGTAGCTCCAGGGGAACCTGAGATGGGACGTGGTCAGCGCCGTGCCCAGGGCCGCCGTGTGGCCATAGGGTGAGAGTGGCAGTGTGCTCCCCCACAGGGATGGGCTCAGGTGTGAGGACAGCTGGGGTTGGGGGGAGTCCATAGCAGCGGTGGGGGGAGGGGCAGGGAGCGTGCTCCGAGGGTCCTTATCGGGAAGAAGCCCCCTCCTTGCTTGTGGAACATGCCGGCTTCTGTGGCACACACCGCATGTCCTCGGAACTCCTCCCACTGCAGCCCCCTCCTGAGAAGGGAGCCGCCCCTCTCTGCCAGGGACACTGACAGCCTGGCCTCGTGTGGTCCTGGTGCCGACCCTTGGGGGCTGCCAGGGAGAACTTCAGCGGTCGGAGGGCTGGCGGGAGCCGGAGCAGGCCCCACCTTCCTAGGACTGTCCCCGGAGCCACCAGGTCCAGCTCATGCCTTCCCCTGGCAGCCCCTTGCAGCCCCACTGCTAGCTGGGTGCGTTTCCTGTAAGATGCACATTCTGTACTGTCCGAGGTGGCTTCTTCTACAACAGCCCGGGGCAGAGAGGACCCAAATGTCCACCGAGAGCGTGGACCAACAGGTTCCCACGCACCACAGTGGAGCGCTGCTCCGCGGTGAGAGCGAGTGCCGATGCACTTGCCAGCCTGGTGAGTCTGGAAGACCTCACGCTGAGAAAAGCCAGACGCAGACGAGAAACTGCTGTGTCATGCCACTGCGTCACTGTCACGTGCCGTCTGCCCACGGCTGAACAAGTCTCTAGGGGCTCACAGCAACGGGGAGCAGGCTCGGCTGATGATTGCCCCACGTCTGGAGGAGGTCCAGCCAGCCACGCACCCGAGACAGCGCAGTTTAGATAAGTTCCACCTCACTGTTTCAAAAGGGTGGGCTCTTTTTTTTTTTTTTTAATTTTTAGAAAATTATTTGAAATCAGAGTAACAGAGAATCTTCCATCTGCTGGTTCACTCCCAGATGGCTGCAGCAGCCAGCACTGTTGCCAGGAGCTTCTTCCAGGTTTCCCGTGTAAGTGGCAGATGCCCAAGCACTTGGGCCATCTTCTGCCGCTTTTCCAGGCCGTTAGCAGGGAGCTGAATGGGAAGTGGAGCACTGGGAAATGAACTGGCGCCCATGTGGGATGCCGGCGTTGTAGGTGGTGGCTTAACCCACTACGTCACCACACTGGCCAAAAGTGCGGGCTCCTATCTCAGACACCAGGCTCGAGCCCGGTTTCCCTGCCTGTTATTATTTCAGTTGTGTGAATTTCCACTAACAAATTTGGGGACTCAGTTTTCTCGCCTGTAAAATGGCAACAATAATATGCTCCTCGTAGGACTGAAGTGAGCTTCTGCAGGAAGTGCATTTACCACGGCACGTGGCAGGGAGTGAGCGCTCAGAAAGTGTGGTTGTCGTCCTCAGGTGACCGAGGAGGGACTCAGGCTCAGGGCTGCTAAGTGGCTTGGACTAGAACCTGGAGCCAGAATTTCCTGGCATATGAATTGCACTTTGGTGCAGCTCATTTCAGTTTCAAGTTCAACAAACATCTGACCATTGCCTTTTGTGTGCCAGGCGTGCAGAGCCACATCACAGTCCAGTCTCTCATTTCCTGTTCCCGTGGGGCTCTCCTCTGGTTCACCCTCATCCCGAGCAACTGCCACTGTGTACTTTGTCCCCACCCGTGTCTCTCTGTGGGGAGGGGGGTGTTGATGCAGGACCCCCTGAGGTCACAGCCACCTGTGTCCGCAGGCCAGGGGGAGGCGGGGCGCGTGCCCACCTGCACCCTCTCCTCCGGCTCCTGCCCGGCCATGTGCACCTGCAGTAATGGCATCGTGGACTGTCGCGGCAAAGGCCTCACCGCCATCCCTGCCAACCTGCCCGAGACCATGACAGAGATGTGAGTGGGGCGGGGCAGGTGCTGGGACACAAGCTCCCCCTATGTACCAAACCCAGGTTGGGGTGGGTAGGAGGAGAGCTGGGGCAGGTGCCACTCATAGCTTGTCCCCAACCCGGCCGTGGCAAATGGAGAAGGCACAGTTTGCCCAGGGCTAGGGAACTCCGGAGGGTGGGGGAGGGGTGTCCCCTGTGGTTGTCTGTCTGGCCCCCCTAGGTGAGTGTGCTAGCCCCTGACCACCCAGCACCATCCGCAGGGCCCCTTCGGCTGCAGGGGTCTGGGGTCGTGGTGTTCACATCCCAGCGGCCCTCTTGGCTTCCTGTGCCAGCCCTCCTGCCCCAGTACTCAGCCTCCGGGCAGGGGGAGGCTCAAGGCTTGTTTGGAGAAGTGAGCTCGGTTGGGCACAGCCCCCGTGCATCCCTCCTGCTCTCTGCCCGCAGCCGCCTGGAGCTCAATGGCATCCAGTCCATCCCCCCGGGAGCCTTCTCTCCCTACAGAAAGCTGCGGAGGATGTGAGTGCTCCCCTGTGCGGGCGGCGCGAGGGGCCGGACGTTTCAGAGCCCAGTGGCGGGCGGGCCCCCTGGCCGCCCTTGCCGCTGACCCCAGCCCCCCACTGCTGCTCCCCTGCAGAGACCTGAGCAACAACCACATCTCCGAGATCGCGCCCGACGCCTTCCAGGGCCTGCGCTCCCTGAACTCGCTGTGAGTAGCAGCCCTGTTCCCCCTTTCTCCGCCGCGGGGAGGAAGGCCTGGTGGTCTGAGCTGTGGCTCTGGCACCCTTGCCCCCTCCCCCTGACGGAGTTTCCCAGCTTCCTTTGAGACAGGCGTCTTGGCCCCACCTCCCCACAGAAGCCCTAGGAGCTGTGCTCCCAAGCCTCTCCTGGCCTCCTGTGGGGCAGTGAGCGCCCGCGGGTGGTGGGAGGTCACGTCTTGCCACCCCTCTCCAGGGTTTCCCAGCCCTTTGGGGTCTGAGAGGGGTGAGGGGGGCCTGTCAGCCAACCAGGCACGGTGCCGGCTCTCCCAGGAACCCTTGCTCACACCCCTGGGCCTTCCAAGCCCCTCACCCTTGGGGGTCCCATGCATTTGGATGGAGAGTGTGCTCAGGGTGCTCTGTGGCTGGGTGGGGCATTTGTTGCTCTGAGGAATGAGGGTTTCCCTGCCCTTGGCAGCCCTGGCCATGGGCTTGGTGCAGGCTGGATGCCTGGCAAGTAGAACCAAGTAGAGCTCCCGCTGGGGGGAGTCCAGGAGGCCAGCAGCTCAGTGTGCTGTGTGCATGCCCTCTTCTCTCCGAATAGAGTCCAAGATAGTGGGCGGGGCCAACTGTGCATGGCACCCCTGAAGTTGTGCAGTGTACGACCTATACAGCTGTGCATTCCAGGGTCACTGTCGCTGGCCGAGAAGGCCAGATCCTGGCCAAAATGCAAGGCTCTTCCTCTGAGATGTGAATGCAGCCTCCTAGGTTGGAACGTGTTGGGGGGGGGGATGGAAGGAGGGTTCTGTCGCTCAGGGGTACCTGATCACAGCCATATGGGAACCTTCAGGCTGAGATCATGTTGACAAATCCCATTGGCCTTGTCCACTCCGGTCAGCCTGGTCTCATCTGCTCCAAGTCCCATCGCCTCCACCGCATTGTCCACACAGCGGCTTGAGGGTTGGTTCTGCAGTGGACATCTTAGCTCAGCTCCAAGGCACCCTCAGGCTGGCTGGCTAACGTGCAAGCAGCCAGCCGTTTGTTTCCTCTGCTCAGGCCATCCCGGGTCACCCAGGGGCAGTGACCCTGATGCCATGCTGCAGGAGGCTGTGCTGAGGGCTCTCCACGGGGTTGAGGGTGGCTGACCCTGGGGGTGAGCACACCTACCTTGATGCTTTTACCCATTGATTGATGCTTTTACCCATTCTTGCCTGTGTGTCCATTTTTTGAACTTTTGCCCTCTTCCCTGATGACACGAGGGGTTCATTCACACTGGCGAACTCTGGCAGTGCCGAAGCATAAGAAGCCCACCGCAGTCCCTCCACTTAGTGCTCATGCTGCACAGGCCGCCTGCCTGCTGCTTTTCCCTGTAATTCTCTGAAAACTTGGGAACTCGTCCTACCCGGGGGACACCCCTCCTCTGAGGTCTCCTTTGCTTCCTGGGAGCAGGTTAATGGCCCATGAGGGTTCTCACTTCCCAGACTTCTGTGGCACCTGTGTGTGCAGGCCAGGGAGCCAGCTGCTCCCCGCAGGTCTCGGGCCCACAGCCACCTGTCCCCGCCAGGTACCTGGGTGCAACCTGGAGGCCAGCCACCCTCTCGGAAGACACTCTACTGCCATCTGCTGGCACCTCACTATAACAAACGTGCCATGAAGATGCCGTGGCTTGGAGTTGGTGCCCTCTGCGGGGGCCCCTCAGAGCGATGCCAGGGCCCGGCGGCTGCCCTCTCACCGTCCCTTTCTGCCTTGTTTTCCCCAGGGTCCTCTATGGGAACAAGATCACAGACCTCCCCCGCGGTGTGTTTTCAGGCCTGTACACCCTACAGCTCCTGTAAGGGCCAGTCCTAGCGTGTCTGTGGGGGGGCCCAGGGAGGGATCAGCGTTCCTATGGCCTTGCCACCTGTCCCTTTGGGCTTCCCTGGGGTATGGACTCACTTGAGACCAGGAGCAAGGGAGACAGACAGACCCAGGAGGGCTGGGGCGTTGGCGGGGGCGGGGGTGGGGGGGGGAGCTGCAGGCTCTGCAGAGGCCGGTTAGAGCTTACGCAGGATGTCGGGGCGCACAGGCTCCTGGGGAGCCCTGTGTGGCAGGGGAACATGCAGACCTGCTCAGTGTCCTGGAAGCATGGGTCAGGACTCTCCCAGGAACCCCAGGCACTGAACGCCAATGCTCCATTTCAGCCGCCTGGGGGTCCTGCCTCCATAGGACCCTGGGAGGGTGGAGGGGTCTCTGGAATGCCTTTGGGCCTCTGCTTTCCTTGTATCTCATGGCTCCTTAATGGGGGAGGGGTGCGGAATGAGATGTCCGCATGCACAGAGAAGGCCACCGGGGTCCCTGGCTCCTCGGCAGGGAGTGGACGCAGAGGGCTGGGCTCCCAGGCCTGCTCCCTCGGCTCCTCGCTGTGCAACTGTGTGTATGGCCAGGCCAGGCTGGGGAGGGAGCCCGGGGGCCCGTGAGGAGCCCGGCCCTGCGCTTCTCCCCTCACCTCCCGGCCCTGGCTCTGCCCGCAGCCTCCTGAATGCCAACAAGATCAACTGCATCCGGCCTGACGCCTTCCAGGATCTGCAGAACCTCTCGCTGCTCTCCCTGTATGACAACAAAATCCAGAGTCTTGCCAGGGGCACCTTCACCTCGCTGCGGGCCATCCAGACGCTGTGAGTGGCCCTCGGGGGCGGCCTCCTCTCCTCCCTCCCTCCCTGCAGGACCCTCAGCTGGGAGCCCCAGCAGGTACACCCTGGAGGTGGAGAACATCCAGCCCACGGAACCGGAACTGTGCGGTCTGGCCCTGCCAAGGCAACCGCAGGCGGGACTCGAAATATAGCAAGTCTATAGCAGGCTCTTTCTTATGTTGATCATTTACATATCCACTGGCCCTTGACAGAAAAAAGGTCCCCGCCCCTGGCCTCGGGGGAGGTTGTGGCCCTGGTCCAGGCAGCTGTCCTGCCCTGGACTGCTGTGCCCACTGCAGGGCCTTACAGAGGAAGGTCACAGACCCTGGGGTACATGATCCTGGCCTCAAGTCCCAGCTGTGCCTCTTATTGGCCCCGGGGATGCATTCGCGGAGGGATGAGGGATTAGAGAGAGCGTTTGGACGTTAGCGCGTGGTAATGCTTGCTCAGTCAGGATGAGGGTAGTGAGAATAGTAATAATAATAATAGTAATAATAATAGTATAGCCCATTGGGTCCAAGACACACATTTGTTTTCATGTGGACGCCTCTGAAATCAAGATGCCTGTGATAATTGGTCACTTAATTGGCAGCTTTTGTCCTCTCTTGAGAGTCCATACAACTTGCAGTGGGCCCTGTCAGATCAGAAGAGCACAGCACTAACAGTGGTGGTTGTAGGTGAAAGCTGGAATGTAGTAAAGCTGGTCACCTGGTGTTCTCTGTAGTGGAAAACTGCGAGCGTGTGCACACTGGCACCACGAGCCGCTGCGAAGGGGTCACCGCTCGCCCCCCTGTTGCTTCGTGACTTCTCTCTTCCCTGCCACTCAAGCTATGCTGGAGCAAATCCCGGGCATCGCTTGTCATCTGTCCAGGCTACATGGACGCTTCACAGACACAGCCACAGCCCTGCTATTAGGTCTCAGGATGCACCAGTCAATGCCTTCATCTCATCGAGTCCCTGATAGGGCTCGAATTTCCAGCGTCTCAGAAATGGCATGCAGTCATTTAATACTTTGAACCAGAATCAGGCCTGTGCATTGTAGTTTTTGGCTGATGCCAGCTGACCTCTCCCTTATGTTTTTTTTTTTTAAGATATATTTGAAAGTCAGAGTTATAGAGAGGCAAGGGGGGTGGGAATCTTCCGTCTGCTGGTTCATTTCCCAGATGGGAGCAACAGCTGGGGCTGGGCCAGGCCAAAGCCGGGAGGAGGAATTCAGCCTGGGTCTGAATCCAGGGACCCAATCACTTAGGCCGTCATCGCTGCCTCTGGGATTGTGCCTTAGGAGCAAGCTGGGACTTGAACCCAGGCCCTCTGGTATGGATGTGGGTATCCAAAGCAATGCCTTAACCACCACACCACACTCCTATCCCATCGACTGTTTTTATGACAGAGAGATGCCTCAGAGTTCATGTGCCTCCCAGGGCCAGGACACAGTTCTCCCTACTAAGTCAGCCTGCCAAAATCAGTCAGTCAGTCAGTCTGTCAGCCAGTCAGGCATGATGCTGAGTAAGCTCCAAACTGGGATGTGCTCAGGGAAGCCCTGACGGTGGCTGATGTAGATATCTGGGGAGTGAACCAGCAGATGTGAGATCTCTCTCTTAGTGTCAGTGTCTCTGTCTCTCTGCCTTTCAAATAAATAAATAAATAAATAATAAAAATAAGAACAAGTAACAGCCTTTGATCTCCGTGCTTGGACCCCTTAATTTTGGGGGTATCCTTTGGTGGTGACATTGGATTCTTTTTTTAAAAAGATTTTATTTATTTATCTGCGAGGCAGAGTTACAAACAGAGAGAGGGAGAGACTGAGAGAGAGGTCTTCCACCTGCTGGTTCACTACCCAAATGGCCGCAATGGCCGGAGCTGAGCCGATCGGAAGCCAGGAGCTTCATCCAGATTTCCCAAGCAAGTGCAGGGGTCCAAGCACTTGGGCCATCTCCCACTGCTTTCCCAGGCCACAGCAGAGAGCTGGATGGGAAGAGGAGCAGCTGGGATACGAACCAGCGCCCATATGGGATGCTGGCGCTGCAGACGGAGGCTTAGCCCACTGTGCCACAGCGCCAGCACCCGAAGGGGCCAGTGCAGTTGTGCTTTAGAACAGAGCCCTGCTGAGCGGCTGGAATGCCTTGGCGGGACGAAACGTCTCCTCACCTGCCGGGTGCTCAAACGGAGGCCTTGGAGGGCCCCTCTGTCCCACGTCTTTACTTCTGAGCTGCAGTTTGGCTGGCTGAGCTGACTGCGGGGGCCCTGGTGTGCATCCAGCATTAACGCTATGGTGGCCACTGTAACTGCTGGGCAGGCTGTCCATCAGATCCCAGCTGCAGGGGACGCGGGGCGGGTTCCCGTGGGTGGAGCAGAAGTACAGCGCCGGCTCCCTGGGGCCTGTGCATGCAACAGGATGTCGGTCACAAAGACAAGCTCATTAGAGCCCACACGTTCGCTGTCAGCCCAGCTCCTGCTAATTAATTTACAGATAGCTGGGGGCAGGAAGATGGAGCCCCACGGGGAAAGCTTGCCAAGTGTGTGTGTGAGGTGAGAGGCAGCAGGGAGACGTGGGCAAGGTGGGTGGGTGTAGGCAGCTGCGGAACGTCTGAGAGCTGCCGTGGCCCAGGACCAACACCTGTGAGCCTTGGGGCTGGGGAGGGGTGAGGGGCTCGTGTGAGCCCCTGTTCCTTGCATGTATCGTCTTAGTACCTACACGGCTCGCAGGAGGTAGGGTCTCTCATCCACGGTGTCACTCGTAAGGAGATGAAGGCAGATGTTGATTAAGTGACTCGCCCTCGGTGCCGAGCGTCCGCTGGAACAGGACTGTGATTTCGGCTGTCGTTTGACCATCGCTGACCTAGTCCGAGACTCGCCCTCAACTGTGCTTTCGCTGTAGGCATAGTGAAAATAGTGCTGACAGTGTAGCACAAGGCAGAGCCTGTGGACGCCTGTTGCAGATTAACAACACAAGCATAATTCAGGACAAGAGAAAAGGAAAGGCAAACCCAAGCCACCATCAGATTTTCTTTTCTAAAAAAGAAATCAGGGGCCAGTACTCTGGCATAGTGGGCTGGGCCGCCGCCTGCGGCGCTGGTTTGTGTCCTGGCCATTCCACTTCCATCCAGCTCCCTGCTAACGTCACTGGGAAAGCAGCAGAGGATGGCACAAGTGCTTGGGCCCCTGCACCTGCTCCAAGCTCCTGGCTTTAGATCCCTCAGTTCCAGCTGTTGTGGCCATTTGCAGAGTAAACCACCTGCTGGTTCACTTCCCAAATGTCCACAACAGCCAGGAGGCCAAAACCTGGAACCCTCAACCTAGGACCCTTACTTGGGTGGCAGGGATCCAGCTACCATAGCCTCCCGGGGTCTGCACTAGCAGGAAGCTGGGCTCAGGAGTGGAGCCTGGACGGATCCCAGCTGCTCTGATGGGGGACACCGGTGACCACCACGTGGAGCATCTGCCTCCAGGGAATTCCAGCTGTGACTCCTTTGTGCCTGTCCAAGAAGGGTGCCGAGGGTCCATCCGCTCTTTCTTCCCTTCCACTGCCCGCAGTGCTCTTGCTCTCGGAGGTGACCGCCCGGCCCCGTAGCCAGCTGGCTTCCGGCTGTGCCGTTTAGCACTGCCCACTTTTCCCAAACCCGTCTGCTGATCTTGCCCCTCAGCATTTGTCCCCCATGGCAACCTGCCCTTTGTCACTGTTTTAAAAAATCCATTTTTGTAATCAAATGCTTGAGTTTGTATAGAAGCCACTTGCCCCTGTGGGTGGTTCAAATTTTGCAGGTTTTTTTTTTTTTGGGGGGGGGGTGTCTGTGGGAGGCACAGATAACCTGCTGCTAAAAAGGATGTGTCCTGTTCTGTCCCACGTGAATGTTGACCTGTGCCCGACAATATCACTGAGTTGATTATAAACAGTTTTCTGCCAAAAGTGAAACCAGGGGAAGCTGGAGGTGGAGGCAGGGGTGTGAAGGCCCAGACAGGTGTGGCTGGGGAGCTGGGGCAGCTTTCTAAGGATCTGCAGTCCGTGCTGGGAGACACAGCCAGCACAGTGGCTCCATGGGGCTCCAGAAAGGGCAGGAGGGGCCTGGCGCAGCTGGTGGAGCCAAGAGGACCAGGCCTTAGGCCAGAGAGAGCAAGCGAGGGCCTGGCCAGGGCCAGTTGGCAGAGCCAGGAGGTGGTGGATGGGAGAGAGCACAGCCAAGGTCTGAGCTGTGCTGGGAGCTTGTGTGAGGAGCTCCGCAGCTGCGGCCACAGGTCACGTGGGGGCAGGCCGGTGTCCCTGAGCCACCTGCCCCCTCAGTCGGGTGCCTGGTCTCTGACTTCCTTTCCAGGACCGGCTTCTTGCTGGCGGTGCGGGTGGTGGGGCAGAAGGGACACGCGTTGTGTCCTTGGCACGGACGTGCGAGATCCAGATGAGTTATGGGCTCCTGGCTTCAGCCAGGCCCAGCCCTAGCTGCTGTGGGCATTTGGAGAGTGAATGAGCAGATGGGAGATCTCTTCCTGTCTGTCTCCGTCTCTGCCTTTCAAATACAATGAAAAAAAAAAAAAAAAAAAAAGACAGCCTGAACTGATGACATTCAGATGGAGGGAATGTGGCCATGGTACGACTCCGAGTCCTTCTGTGCGCAGTCCCTGGCTCTCTGTCGGGCACAGCAGCCAGCACAGGTGCAGAGTACTCTTCCCTGGCTGTCTCTGCACAGCCACAGAAGAGCATGCCCGGTGCTGTGGTTGCCCAGGCACAGGTGGGCAGGCCTGGGACAGGGGCGTTCAGATGTGGCTGCTCTGAACCTGCTGGGGTGGTCAGGGCCTGCAGGCAGGAAGGTCACCGTGAGGTTGCCGTTAGCAACTGCTCACCATGATCACTGGCTGGTGACCCCAGCAGCCCGGGAGGGACTTTGAGTAAGCAGCCACGCGCTGGTGTTTTCGGAGTTGTTCTGTGTCAAGATGCCTGTAAAATGGTCAAGGAGAGGAGCCCCATGGCAAGGAGTGGGAATGGTGACTCCAAGTGCAGCCCAGGGGTCCAGCAGGTCCAGCCCTGCCCCCGGGCCCCGTTCCCCTCCTTGGGAGTGGCTGTGGGAGACAGGCTGCTGCAGAGGGGAACAAACCAAGGCCATGGCCGCTGGGGAGGCCCAGAGGGTGACGGCTCTGGGTGCCGTGCCCTTCGTTCCCTTGGCTGTGAAGGGAGAGGGACACTGTGGCCAGCCTCTAGGCTCCTCCTCCCTCTGCTCAGGGCAGCAGAAGGGACACAGCGAGGCATAGAGGGGCGTGTGGCAGCGTCAGAAGGAAGCTCCGGGGTCCGAAAGGCTCAGGCTGCAGAGCCTGGCCCGGAGATGCACTGGTGGGGCTTCCCTCTCCTGCATGGCAGGTGCGCCCTGGTGGTCCCCGCCTCCATTCCTTCCACAGCCAGCCCTGGACTTCAGCTACGCTGGCCCCAGCAGGCAGCAGGGCCCTGTTCAGATGGGGGTCAGGACACACGGACGGCACTGGTTTGTAGCCCTTGTTCCTGATGGTTCCACTACCCCTCTGGACAGGCACCTGGCCCAGAACCCTTTCATCTGCGACTGTAGCCTCAAGTGGCTGGCGGACTTCCTGCGCACCAACCCCATTGAGACGAGCGGGGCCCGCTGCGCCAGCCCCCGGCGCCTCGCCAACAAGCGCATCGGGCAGATCAAGAGCAAGAAGTTCCGGTGCTCAGGTAGCTGCCTGCCTGCCCGCCTGCCCGCCTGTCTGTCTGACGAGCTTCTGTCTGCACAGTGATCCAGGGGTGTTTCCTGGATGGCTTTGAATTGGGTCCCCTGCTGGAGGGACCGTGCTGGGGTGGGGGTTACACCCCTCACTGAGGCCTAGGGAAGGGGCAGGGCTTACTGAAGGCCCCAGGGAGAGGGCCCAAGCCCTTGACTTTCAGATCTTTCAAGACACTGGGGAGGGCTGGGCGATTTCTTGGATGAGATGGGCACCCCTCCAGGCTTTGGGTTGGCTGGAGTGGCCTCGGGTACAGCAGTGCAATTGGCCTATGGCTGGGTACAGTGCGAGTCAGGCTCTGAGCCCCGACCCTGGTCAGGGCCCGAGACCACCCTTGCCCCCCGCCATCTGTAAGGTCCCCGCCTTGCACTGTTGCAAGAGGCAGGATGATGGTTCTGCTGCTCCTTGCAGGAGGTTGAATTGGACGTGGTCCTGCCCCAGCATCGGCCTGGGCCAGGAAAAGGGATGCCCTGTAGCAAGGCCTTCTGCACTCTGGGGCTGGGCAGATGGGCTCTGGGGACCCCATGTCAGGTACCAGCTGGGCAGGGGGACCCAGGCCCAGGGTGGGCCTGTGAACCCTGGCGGTTCCCTGCATTGTGGTATTTCTGCCTCTCTCCCCAGCCAAAGAGCAGTACTTCATTCCAGGTAGGAAAGAGGGTGACTGAGGCCAGCCCAGGGTGGGGGAGGGGCATGGTGGCAGTGGGTGGCAGGCTGGGGGCCCGGGAGACCCTGGGTGCCATGGCTGTAGGAGCCTTTCCCGCTTCTCCTATAGGCACAGAGGACTATCAGCTCAACAGTGAGTGCAACAGTGACGTCGTCTGTCCCCACAAGTGCCGCTGCGAGGCCAGCGTGGTGGAGTGCTCCAGCCTGAAGCTCACCAAGATTCCTGAGCGCATCCCGCAGTCCACGGCCGAGCTGTGAGCGCCCCCGGCCCCCAGCTCCCACTGACCCTTCTGGGCCTGCTCTGGCTTTGCCCTGCGATATCTGGGGGAGCCCTGCAAACCCAGGCTGACTCCAGCAGGCAGCAGCCCCCCCCGCTGTTGTCTGTGTCCAAGTCTAGCCCCCAGGGCAGGACACCAGCCCAGCTTCTGACTTCTTTGGGAGAGCATGATTCCCAACCCCTGTAACTATTTGTTTTCTTCCTCAACCTCTAAAAACAGGAATTTGTGCACCTGCTATGCAGGTGCATAGAGCCCTGTGTGCAGCTGTCTCATGGGTGGGCATTTTCATAGCAGTTTTAGTGTTAAAAATATCCTCAGTCACTGGTTCAGCCTCACCTTCGAATAGGAGCAGTTGGCCAGCTGAATGTGTCCGGGAGTCCCCTGCGTTGAGTCCCAGCTCGGAAGGTGCTTCCCCGTCCCCGTGTGGATCTAAGCTCTCCTCTTGGCCTCTTACAGACGGCTGAACAACAATGAGATCGCCATCCTCGAGGCCACGGGGATGTTCAAGAAACTCACACATCTGAAGAAAATGTGAGTTCCTGGCTGGCGGGCAGGCTGCCCATCAGGACCCTGGCTGAGAAGGGTGGGGGCAGGGCTGCCAGGCTGGGGGCTGGGTGCAGGAAGGGAGGGGCCTGAGCCTGGGGAGGGGACGGGCCGTTCGTCATCCCCACCCCACGCCTCTCCCAGCAACCTGAGCAACAACAAGGTGTCTGAGATCGAAGATGGGGCCTTCGAGGGTGCGGCTTCCGTGAGCGAGCTGCACCTGACAGCCAACCAGCTGGAGTCCATCCGCAGTGGCATGTTCCGGGGGCTGGACGGCCTGAGGACCCTGTGAGTGTGTGGGGCTGGGGGGCGGGGCGCTCCAAGGAGGGCCACGCCAAGCCTTGGGGTGGGTGGGTGCACTCAGAGGGAGACGCTCCCCAGCCCACGCTGGCAGGAGGGTGGGGGTAGCAGAGGACCCTTCCCGCAGTGGGAACTCCTTGTGGTAAGGCCCAGTTTTGTTCCTGGGGCATGGGGCCAGTCCTGGGGCCTCCCTGTGGTCCAGGGTCTGTGCTCAGGAGTGGTCAGCAGAGCTGCAGCAGGAGGGGCTGGCTGGCCCGTGGCAGGGACCTCACTGAGGTGACTCAGTGGGTATAGATGGGGCAGCAGGGACATTGCTCCACCCCTGGGCTTGTGGGCTCCACGAGTCAGAGCCCAGCCAGAGCTAACCAGCCACCCGGAGCTCAGAGAGACCCCTCATGTATGCCACGGGGGTGAGGTGGGGTCTCCCCTCTTTGCACCCAGTGGTGCTGGCTCCTCCCGTGAGCAGATGGACATTGGCTGCCAGTAGAAAAGGCTCTCTCTGTACAGTGGGACTCCGTGGCAATGGGAATGTGTTGTGTCCACGCAACCCAATCCAGGAGCCTTGTGTGGCTGCGGGGCGCTTATGTAACTGTTTGGTTAAAATCCTGGGTAGTTACAAGTGGGTGTTGGACAAGCAGCTCTCAAAGCTACCTGCCTGGCTTGCTGGGTTTAGATTCCCCTTCTGAGCACGGGCCATTGAAGTGGCAGGCAAATGGGTGTGTGAGGGGCCCACTGTTCGTTTCACTTGTTTGCAGGTGTATAGAGGTATATACCTTCACGTACGAGGGTGCCTCAGAAAGCGAGTGGGGCGATGGAATCCAATGATAAGTTTAGGGGTCAGTGTTGTGGTGCAGTGGGTTCAGCCACTGCTTGCCATGCAGACATCCATATTGGAGTGCTGTTTGAGTCCCAGCTGCTCCACTTCCAATCCAGCTTCTTGCTACTGTGCTTGGGAAGGTGCTTGGGCCCTTGCACCTACATAGGAGATCATGATGGAGTTCCTGACTCCTGGCTTCAGCCTGGGCCAGGCCTGACTTTTGCAGCCATTTGGGGAGTGAACCAATGGAAGATACCTCTCTACCTCTCTCTGTCTGTCTCTCTGCCTGTAAAATAAATAAATCTTTTCTTAAAAAAAGATTTATTCTTATGCAAAAATTTTGAAATCCATGTGCAGTTTTTTTATACATGCTTTTCCCATGAACTTTTTGAAGACCCCTCGTCTATCTCTGTGAAGCCATCACCATAATCCATGCTGTACACATACCCTGTCCCAGGCAGGTGTTTAGCTGTGGGGAGCAGCTCGGACTAGACTAAGTTACTGGAATTAAGACTTATTCTATGCATCTGCTCTCCTCTGTGGGGAGCAGCCCGGACTGGACTGAGTTACTGGAATTAAGACTTATTCTATGCATCTGCTCTCCCACAATATGGCGCTGGGAGAGAGGTAAACAGCTTCCGCACAGCTGCCTCCAGTTCAACCAATAAACTGTAGGACTTGCTCCTGATTGGAGAGCAGCGTACTCGGCGTGTGGGCAGCCGAGTTGGGATTGGCGGAGGAGGACTATAAAGGAGGAGAGAGACGGCATGCACCAGGAACATCTATGGGGAACATCTAGCTGAAGGAACGCCCGTGCAGCCCCCGAGAAGAGCCGGCCGGCGGTGTGCCGCTCCCCTGCGGAAGTGGGGAATGTGGCCAGGGGGAACTGCCCTTCCACGGAGGTGGAAGGGATAGTAGCCAACCCGGGAAGAACCAGCAGCAAACCCGGGGAGGGCCGAGCAGACAAAAAGAACAGCGCAGGGTCCTGTGTTGCTCCTCCACGAAGAGGGGGAGCGACATAATGGTGCCGTGACTCGGATATGAAGCCTAGGCAGGGCTTAGTGTCGTTCCTCCACGAAGAGGGGGAGCGACATAATGGTGCCGTGACTCGGATAGGAAACCTGACTCGGATAGGAAACCTAGCTCGGATAGGAAACCTAGCTTGGATAGGAAACCTAGGACGGATAAAAAACTTAGGAGGGAAGAAACGGGAAGAAACGGGAAGAAATGGGAAAATTACCGGAGAGAGAGACTAGCAAACAGCCTAGGGAAAAGCCGGACGAAAAAGGGGCCGGAAGAAGCTATTGAAAGCCTAGGCATAGACTTGGATATGGACTGTGGGAAAGAAGTTAGGATTTGAAAGCGAAAGTGAAAGCTTTCATAGACTCGGATGCGGACTATGGTGGGGAAGCTAGGAGATTGAAAGCGAAAGTGAAACCTGGAGGAGGCTTGGACTCGGATACGGACTGTGGGGAGTAGCCAGGAGAAATGAGAGGAATATTGTTGGAAGAAAACTTAAGGAAACATACCGGGTAGAGAGAAATGTTAGGGAGGATGAAGCCGCGAGTGCAGGCCAAGCCATCTTGGAATTCTTCAAGTCACCCCGGGGAGCAAGAGGCGAAGATCTGGAACCAGAGGCAGAGACGTGGGCCGCCAGGATTCGCCAGGTTAGTCCGGGGAACTTGGACTGAATGCCGGTGGTGGCGGAAACATTCGCGAAAGCCGCCGCGTGCAGAGAGAGCACGGGGCGTTGGCGCGAGGCCGTGGTGCGGGCGCGAAGTGCGTGGAGACCGCGGAGCGTGCGCGCAGAGCCGGGAACCCGCCGGCGGGGCGAGGCGCCGGGAAGCCGCGCAGAGCCGTGAAGCCGCCGCGGGGCGGGCGCCGGCGGGGCGAGGCGCCGGGAAGCCGCGCAAAGCCGGGAAGCTGCGCAGATGAGAGAGGCGCGGGCTGAAGCGGCTCAGCCGGGAAGCCGCCGAGAAGCAGCCTCGGGGCGGGCGCAGCCGGGAAGCCGCGGGGATAAGAATGAGAGCGGGAAGCCGCAGGGATAAGAGAAACAGAAGTTTAGAAGTAAAGTGAGAAAAATAGGAATGCTGGAAGATAGAAGTAAAATGGGAGAAATAGGAATGCCTGGAGATAGAGAAATAGAGAAATAAAAAGGCCTCCCTACAACACTGCAATGTGAGAGCTTGGATTCGGTCTGCCTAATCAAGTGAGGCGATGAGCACCTGCGGGCAGCTAGCAGCTTATGCGCCGCAGGTCACCGAAGACAGGCACGAATTAACATCAGTAAGGCTTCCCCACAATGTAACAATTAGGAGGCTTGGATTCGGTCTGCCTGATTTAAGGCGGTAAGCGCCAGCAAGCAGCTCGACCAGAGTATGAGCTGCAGGTCACCGAAGATAGGCACGAACCAACACTAATAAGTCTCCCCCACAAAAAGGCAATGAGAAGGCTTGGATTCGGTTTGCCTGATAGAGCTTGTAAGCCCCTGCAGGCAGAGCAAAGCATGCGCTGCAGGGCACCGAACACAGGCACGCATCAGCGCCTAAAAACCTCCTCACAACATGGCGAAGAGAGGACCCGGATTCGGTTTGCCTGATGGATAGGACTTGTAAGAGCCTGTGGCAACTCTAGCAAGTAGAGCAGAGTGTGTGCTGCGGGACACCGAAGACAGGCGCGTATCAACGCCAAAAAAAAAATAAAAAGAAAGGGGGATCTGTGGGGAGCAGCTCGGACTAGACTAAGTTACTGGAATTAAGACTTATTCTATGCATCTGCTCTCCTCTGTGGGGAGCAGCCCGGACTGGACTGAGTTACTGGAATTAAGACTTATTCTATGCATCTGCTCTCCCACAATATGGCGCTGGGAGAGAGGTAAACAGCTTCCGCACAGCTGCCTCCAGTTCAACCAATAAACTGTAGGACTTGCTCCTGATTGGAGAGCAGCGTACTCGGCGTGTGGGCAGCCGAGTTGGGATTGGCGGAGGAGGACTATAAAGGAGGAGAGAGACGGCATGCACCAGGAACATCTATGGGGAACATCTAGCTGAAGGAACGCCCGTGCAGCCCCCGAGAAGAGCCGGCCGGCGGTGTGCCGCTCCCCTGCGGAAGTGGGGAATGTGGCCAGGGGGAACTGCCCTTCCACGGAGGTGGAAGGGATAGTAGCCAACCCGGGAAGAACCAGCAGCAAACCCGGGGAGGGCCGAGCAGACAAAAAGAACAGCGCAGGGTCCTGTGTTGCTCCTCCACGAAGAGGGGGAGCGACATAATGGTGCCGTGACTCGGATATGAAGCCTAGGCAGGGCTTAGTGTCGTTCCTCCACGAAGAGGGGGAGCGACATTTAGCCACTAAGGAGCCCATGTCCCACACCAGAGTGCTTGGTTCTGGCTCCTGATTCCAGCTTCCTGACCGTGCAGACCCTGGAAAACAGCAGTGATGGCTCAAGTGTTTAGGTGTCTGCCACCCATGTGGGAGAGGGGATGGAGTTCCTGGCTCCTGCCTTGGCCTGTCCCAGCCCCAGGCATTGCGGGCATTTGAGCGGTGAGCCAGCAAATGGCAGGAGAGAGAGAGGGAGGGAGAGAGAGAGAGAGAGAGAGAGAGAGAGAGAGAGAGGTGTTTTCCATTCACTGGTTCACTCCCCAAATGGCTGCAATGCCTGGAGCTGGGCCAGGCAGAAGCCAGGAGCCAAGAGCTTCCTCCAGGTCTCCCATGTGGGTGCAGGGGCCTAAGTACTTGGGCCATCCTCACTGCTTTCCCAGGCACATTAGCAGGGAGCCGGATTGGAAGTGGAGCAGCCAGGACTCAAGCTGGCACCCATTTGGGATGCTGGTGCTGCAGATGGTAGCTTAACCTGCTGCGTCATGGCGCCAGCCCTGAACCAGGTGCTAGAGGGTAGCCAGTGGCTGTTCAGGTAGAGACGAGGATGGAAGGCATTGTAGCTGGGGCAGGCGGGCAGTGAGGACCCGGCGGCAGGCAGGAGGCTCTGGGGGTCCGCAGCAACAGGAGATGCCGGCGGGGCAGAGCTGCTCCAGGTCAGTGGGTGGGCTCCGCAGGTCACAGGGCAGTTTAGACGTGACTCCATGTGCAACTCAGACACCACTAGCGGCCTTCCAGCAGGAGGGCAGCGTGGCCCGCCCGGCTGCGGTTTCAGGAAGGCCTCCTGGGCACCGAGTGAAGGGGAGCGCCCTCTGCCGCTGTGCCCCAGCCTGGGTCTGTGCCTCACGCCCGCCCGCCCCGCAGGATGCTGAGGAACAACCGCATCAGCTGCATCCACAATGACAGCTTCACGGGCCTGCGCAACGTCCGGCTCCTGTCGCTGTACGACAACCACATCACCACCATCGCCCCTGGCGCCTTCGACACCCTGCAGGCCCTGTCCACGCTGTGAGTGCGGGCGGGCGGGCGGCTCCGGGAGCCCCGCCTGCGGTGCCCAGGGGATGATCTCGGGGACACAGGGGATGCTTGGGGCCCCATGGTTTGCTGAACCTCGGTTTCACCTCTTCAGCGTTCCGCCCCGGTCCCCAAGAGCCCTGCTCTCGCGCCAGCAGCCACTGTCTGGGAGCGAGCAGGCCCGGGGTGGACGGGAGAGGGCAGTGTGGGGCTGGGGGCCGGGGGGTGGGGGTGGGGGTGGCCGTGTCCTTGCTCACCCCGCCTGCCTCCTCCAGCAACCTCCTGGCCAACCCTTTCAACTGCGACTGCCAGCTGGCCTGGCTGGGCGACTGGCTGCGCAAGAGGAGGGTCGTGACGGGCAACCCACGGTGCCAGAACCCGGACTTCCTGCGGCAGATCCCCCTGCAGGACGTGGCCTTCCCTGACTTCCGGTGCGAGGAAGGTGACTCGGGGCCCTGGTGCTGGGAGGGCGGGCTGGTGGGACGGCAGGCAGCCCTGCCTGGCGGTGCTGTGGCACGGTTGTGGGAGCAAGCACGGCCTGCGGTCACAGAGCAGGAAAGCGTGGGTAGGAGGGGGGAAGCGATGTCACCCCTTAGCCTGTTGTGGGGAAAAGCACAGGACACATGTTCGCGTCCTCTGTTCTATGTGAACACACATAGCCCAATGCCCTGCCCCTGGGCTGCTCCTGAGCCCTCCAGACTTCCGGGGTGGCCCTGTGCTTCAAATGCAAGGGGGCCCTCTGCGTCCCGTCCGGGTACGTGGCCGCCTGTGTGCTCTGGATTCCCCGTCTGCCAGGCGGCCGCTCTCCTCCTTCCCTCCGCCGGTGGGGTACACCTGGGATGCCGCCACTGCAGGCTGGGCTTTGACCTGCTGTGCCACAGCGCCAGCAGCACCCCCTCCCCCAGTCTTTTTTTTTTTTTTTTAATTCAGAATTTTAAGGATCTAACTATAATGGCCGGCGCCACAGCTCAATAGGCTAATCCTCCACCTGCGGCGCCGGCACACCGGGTTGTAGTCCCGGTCGGGGCACCAGATTCTGTCCTGGTTGCCCCTCTTCCAGGCCAGCTCTCTGCTGTGGCCCGGGAGGGCAGTGGAGGATGGCCCAAGTGCTTGGGCCCTGCACCCCATGGGAGACCAGGATAAGCACCTGGCTCCTGGCTTCGGATCAGCATGGTGCGCCAGCCACAGTGTGCCCGTCACGGCGGCCATTGGAGGGTGAACCAACGGCAAAAAGGAAGACCTTTCTCTGTCTCTCTCACTCACTATCCACTCTGCCTGTCCAAAAAAAAAAAAAAAATCTAACTATAATTCTGTATATTTTTTCATGCCATCACCTGTCTGCTGAAGGAATTTTTTTTTCCCAAGAACCAGGTTCTTTGTAGTTTTCTTGTCACAAAAGTGATACATCCTCCCTCATTCCTTACAAACAGCAGCCCTAACAACACACAGGAGAATTCAGGCTCGCTGAGATGCCCGCCTCCCAGCCACCGCCCTGGACGTCACCTGTCCGCTCCCCAACCTGGGCTCCCCGGGACCTTGCTGTGTGCTTGTGTGCACGTGCAGGACACGTGTGGAGTCTTGCAGGGCTGCCTGGGGAAGACTTGTGATGTGGTGCACCGTGGTGTGTTGGGAGCCGCAGTGTGGAGGGCTGTGCTGTTGCCCTAGGAGAATTGAGACTTCTGCCCACCCGTCTTTGTCACTGGCTTTCATATCTGTGTGCCGGGTTCCCCCTTGGTTGCTGCTAGGAAGCAGTAGGTGGTCAAGAGGGCAGGCTCCAGAGGCAGCCGGCCTGGATCCCTGTCCTGGTGCCATCACTTCCAGGCTGGGAGACCTTGGGCAAGCTACTTAACCACTTGGCCTCAGATTCCTCACTGTAAAATGCGCTCATAGTAGCACACCCCAAGAGAGATGTTTTGAGGATCCTGCGTGTGGCTGGTCCTCCCTCGGTAACTGACAGCCACCTGTCTCCTAGTGTGGTTGCCATCTCTGACCATGGAATCTTTATCATCCCTAGTCCCTGAGCAGAGAAACAAAGGGCCATGGAGGGTGCACTGTAATCTTTATCAAATAAGTAAATGAGTGGGTAAATATGGTGGGAGCCAAAGCCCAGATTCTGCGCCTGCCAGAGTCGGCTCGGACCCCGAGCCTGCGTCACCTCAGCCCAGCCTTACCGCTGAGCAAGCCGCTGAGCCTCTATAGGTCTCCGACTGATAGAAACTCATTCACCTGGCTCATCTGTTCTCTTTTTAATTAATTAACTACAGGGGCAGGGAGAGAGAGAGAGCAGGTTCCCATCTACCGGTTGACTCCCCAGTGCCCGCAGGGGCTGGGGCAGGGCCAGGGCTGAAGCCCGTGGCCAGGAACTCCATCCAGATATCCCGTCCGTGAAGGAGGCAGGGACGCAGTCCTGAGCCAGCACCGCTGCCTGCCAGGGTCTGCACCCACAGGGAGCTGGGGTCGCGAGCCGGAGCACACCCACGAGGGACCTGGGCATCTTCCCCATGAAGCTAAACACCCACCCCTCAGCTAATCTGTTCTGACGGCTGCTGTGTGCCAGGCGCCGCACTGGGTCCTGGGCTCTCTCTATGAACTGAGAAGGAAAAGAGAGACGCTGGTCTATGTGCCCGTGATGCCCGCCCTCTGTGGGTTGACGCCATGCTGCCCAGGACTGCGGTGGGTGCTTGAGAACCAGTGTGGTTGCCTCGCTCCACCCTGCCCTGTCCCCCAGGTGGAGGGGGCCTGCCCAAGATCAAGTTCAAGCTCAGAACTGCTCCAGGGGCTTGGCTCTGGTGATGGCTGGGGCTGTGCCCAGGAGACTTTGACCGAGGCGTTGTCAGAGAAGGGGCTCTGTTCCGAGGGCCCTGGGGCTCGGCCCTGGCTGCAGGAGGCCCTTGGAAGGCCCAGGCTCCCCACTGACCGGTTCTCGCTGCCCCTCCCTAGGCCAGGAGGAGGGGGGCTGCCTGCCCCGCCCGCAGTGCCCCCAGGAGTGCGCCTGCCTGGACACCGTCGTGCGATGCAGCAACAAACACCTGCGGGCCCTGCCCGTGGGCATCCCCAAGAACGTCACAGAACTGTGAGTAGCCCGAGGCTCGCGCCCTCCACGTGGGCCCCCTGGGCGGGGACAGTGGGAGCACTTCCCTCTGGGCAGGGCCCTGGTGGTAGCCACGAGCTGGCCGGGAGCTGGGGTCAGAGCCCTGGGCTTCTCTTTGACGCCCCCTCTGCTGTCCCAAGTCCCCGTGTTGTCCCCGGAGTCATCCCTTTAAGCTCTGCCTGGAAGATAAGGAGTAACCTTACCTCTTCCACGGAACGAAACTTACCACAAGCAGTTCCGTCAGGCGTGCCATTTCTCACACGCGTGATTTCTTTAACCAGCAACGTAATGCTCTTCACACAAGCCCACCGTGATCCCGGTAACAAATCCCCTTTCGTTGGAGTGTTCAGTCGGTCTCGGTCTTGTTGCTGGAAATGACCCCGAGGTGGACATCCCTTCGGCTGGACTGCTGCTCAGGAAACAGCGCACCCTGGGGTCCTTGCTGCCTTTGCCCGCGGGACTCCCAGGAAAACCTGTCTCCCCTGCACTCCCTGTGGGTGGCGGGTGGGGAGGGCTGTTCACTTGAGTCATGCCGGGCAACTTCCAGTCTCCTGGTGGGGGAGCGGGGAGGCGGGCAGACCCAGAGCTTCTTGAAGCCCATGCACTGGCCTGTGGCGGTGAACCTGGGGAGGCTGTGGGTGGGCTTGGTCTCAGGGCAGTGACTCGGGTGGACGTGGATACAGTGGGAGCCAGCAGGAAGGAGAGGGGAAGGAGATGGCTGTAGGGCCCCAGGCATTGGTGGCGGTGTGCAGCCTGGTGGGGGTGGGGCACTGTGTGTGTGGGGGAGCAAATGCAAAGGGCCTGTGGGCAGGAGGAGCCCGCCGAGGGGGCCCTACTCCCCAGGGCTGAAGAGCAGCACCAGCGGGCCCAGTGTGCGCAGGCGGGCAGGGACGTGAGGGGCTGTGGAGTGAAGGCAAGCTGCCTTGGGAGTGTTTGAGTCTGGGGCTTCCCTGGGACAGGCCACCTGCCATCCCCCAGGGACTGCCGGCCCTGGGAGCTGTGAGGGCTGATCCTGCAAACCAGGCCCGTGTGGCCAGGGAGAGAGCAGAGCCGGGGAGGGGGAGCTCAGTGGCTTTCTTCTGTTTTGGGGGCTTTTTTGAAAAGCAGACAGAGACAGAAAGAGAAATCATCTGTCCACTGGTTCACTACCTAAATGGCTGCACCAGGTCTGGGCCAAGCCCAACCGGAAGCCCAGAATTCAACCTGGGTCTCCCACGTGGGTGGCAGGGACCCAAGTACTTGAGCCGTCATCTGCTGCCTCCCAGGGTGCGCATTAGCAGGGAGCAGGATCGGAAGCAGAGGAGCCAGGACTGGAACCAGGCCCTCAGATGTGGGATGCAGCTGACCCAGGAAGCATCCTAACAGCTGTGCCAAGTGTTCACACGTACAGTGGCTTTTAACAAGTTCTGTAGGTGGCATCTCTAACGGCCTAATCAGTGGGCTTCTTTTCTCCTCCAATGAGCGGTTCTGAGTGGGGAGTGGCTCAGGGAAGGTTCTGGCCAGAGATGGGGCACTGCCGGCAGAGTCATCCCGCTGTGTAACCCTGCTGTTTTCTCTCCATAGCTATTTGGACGGGAACCAGTTCACGCAGGTTCCAGGCCAGCTGTCCACCTTCAAGTTCCTGCAGCTCGTGTGAGTATCCAGGCCTGCTCAGAGGACAGGCTCCAGCTTTCCTGGAATTTCTTCCAGACCCTGTGTTTGTGCCCCTAACCCCTTCCCCCAGGAACATCTGTGCGCAGAGCTGTTTGCCACCTAGTGGCCTTGCTTGGGAATTGCATTGTTCTAGCCCCATTAGATGGGACTCCAAGCCATCTCCCAACCCTCCCTGGAGCTGATGTGGGTTCTCTTTGCAAGGACAGGGGCTGGGATAGAAGTAGATGGCAAAGGAGACCTTCCTCTCCATGCAGCCTTGGCCTCTAAAGCCAGTGTGGAATAAGGCAGCTACGTTCTCCTCTCTCTGACGGCTGTCCTTCTGTTGTTTCCACACGTTGACCCTCTCCACTCCCGGGGAGGTGCAGAGTTCCCCTGCTCTTGGCCTTCCGGCCTAATCAGCCCTCACTGGTCTTCATCTGCTCAGTGACCAGGTTCTGCCAGAAAGAAGTCCAGAGAAAGCTCCACCTTAGCGTGGGGTGGCGCAGGGCTGCGCGTTGTGGTCGCTGGGACAGCTGGCAGCGGGTTTGTAATTAGATAAGGAACTTGCACCAGGATGTGACTCAGCCTCCTGCTTCCTTCACGGAGAAAGTTCCTGGGAAAGCAGTGTGTACTCCGTGGCGTGCTGGTTCCTTGTCGGGGTCTGATAACAGTTCCGGGGCAGCCACTTGCAGCAGCACTGGCCATCAGGCCTTGGCAGCTCCAACGTCTCTGTCTTGGCTTGAGGACCTCATGGATGTGTCTTCAGCATCCCACTGGGACTGGCTCTGTTGATTCAGTGACTGATGACGAAGTGCCAAAGAAAGAGACTTCACCTGCCCGCTTTCTCTGTAGCAGCAGCTGCACCGGTGGCTGGGATGCACCTGCTGAGCGTGGGGGGATGGAGGCCTTCGATCTGCCGGTCCGCGCCATGGCACTGCCTCCCGGGGCTGCAGTAGCGCCGCCTCCTGGTACAAGGAGGCACCTCCAAGTGCACTGCTGTTCAGCGAAGCGCTTGAGTACATCCCCAAGCGCAGGAAGCAGTGCTGACCGAGAGGAGTCAGAGCAAAGGCCGCTGGAGGAGGGGGCAGGGCACACTGTTTCACGTCTAAACGTTCCCGAGCCAAGAGCGGCATGGGCCAAGTCCTGGGCCCGCCCCAGACCGCGTGGCTTAGAGAGGGTGCTGGAGAGAGGAGTGGGGGCACAGAAAGCCGGAGGGTGAGAGGGGCCGCCAGAGCAAAGGCAGAGGGGGGCTGTGGCTCAGAGAAGGCTGATGTGCCCAGGCTAGGGCTTGGGAGAGCAGCACACTGAAAATGCGGCAGTGTTCACCAGTGGGCATAGAAATAGGACAGCCAGGGAACGGAGTCGCGGGATGCTCAGAGAATCCCAGGAAGGGGAGTAAATCCGCAGCCTGCGAGGCCTGGGGGACGGCGGCCGGAGCCGGAGGCCCTGGAGGTGGCCATGCTGCAAGCCCGCAGTTTGCCCTGTAGGGGGACAGGAGCCGCTGCTGGGCTCTGGTAGGGACGTGATCGGTCAGGTTTGTGTTCCAGAAAGCTTGTGGTGGTGCCTGCCCCTGTGGAAGGTGAAGTTAGAGTGTGAGGGAGGCCCCAGGAGGGAGGTGACACTGGCTGGACAGGTGGGGCAGGTGTGAGAGAGGCGATGAGACATGGGTGGGGGCCGTGCCCGTGGTCGTCAGAGCCTGGACACTAAGGCATGAGCCCCTGATCTGCTGTCTGAGGGCCGTCAGCCAGAGCAGGGCTCCACCAGCAGCCAGGCCGGGCCACGGGACAGGGCTCCATCAGTACGAGAGCATCCCAGAGAGACCTGAGCGGACAAGGGCCGCGGGCCTCAGGAGGCAAAGAAACGGCCAGTGAGGCAGGAGGAGCGGGCAGTCAGTGAGGGGCACGGGAGAGAAGGGGCGGGAAGGGCAGGCGTGGGCCGGGCCCAGGGTGGTGGGCTGGGGCTGGCCCGTGGGCTGCCTCTGACCCGCGGAGTTCATTACTCCTAGACTCTGGGTCTTAACTGGTAACATGGGGTCACGGGCACCCTCACAGGATGTTGGAGTGCCAGTGAGCCCACCCCTGCACAGGGCCAGGAACAGAATGGAGAGGCCACTGCCTCTCACAGTTGGAGAGGTGGCGGTGAGCCTTGGTGGGAGCCGTTCTGTGTTGGAGAGGGGCCAGGCAGCTCTAGGTGCAGGGGTGTGGGGTGAGGAGTGAGGCAGAAGCCCTGGGGACACGGAGGGATTCAGGGGGCCCAGTGCTCCTCCCCACCCCTACTTCAGCCCTGGGAGTGCCAGAGGGGCCCTGGCTCAGCTAACTGGAGGGGTGGGGGCAGGGCTCAGGCAGAGAGGGAGGGGAAGAAACCGTGCAAATGAGCCAGGGTTGGGTTCTTCTAAACCATGCTGCCCTTGCCTCTTCCAGGGACCTGAGCAACAACAAGATCAGTTCCTTGAGCAATTCCTCCTTCACCAACATGAGCCAGCTGACCACGCTGTGAGTCCCGCAGGGGTGGGGGTGGGGCTGGGGCCACAGCTGCTGAGACCTCCCCAGCCCCAGCCTGCCGGTGGTGCGGCTCCCTCGTCACTCCCCAGGGGCCTGTAGGCACCCTCCCCCTCCAGAGAGTGGACCAGAGCCTGAGCATCTAAAAAGCTTTTTTTTAAAAAAAAAAAAGATTTATTTATTTGTTTGAGAGGCAGAGTTACAGAGAGAGAGGGGAAGAGACAGAGAGAGAGGTCTTCCATCTTCAGGTTCACTCCTCAAATGGAAACAATGGCCGGAGCTACGCCAATCCGAAGTCAGGAGCCAGGAGCTTCCTCTGGGTCTCCCACATGGGTGCAGGGGCCCACAGACTTGGGCCATCTTCTACTGCCTTCCCAGGCCATAGCGGGGGGCTGGATCTGAAGAGGGGCAGCTGGGACTAGAACCGGCGTCCATATGGGATGCCGGCACAGCAGGAGGAGGCTTAGCCTACTATGCCACAGTGCTGGCACCTAAAAAGCTTTTAGAAAACATCTTTCACTGTGAAAATACACAAAATACACAAAAAAGTACAAAAAATATGAAAGCACAGTGTATCTAGCAATCGTGAAACTGGCACGCATGTAGATACTTAGAACACCCTGAGCACCCCAAGCCCCCCGACCCCCTGTTCTGACCTTATCATGGTCACTTTTTAGGCATTTTAAATAGTATTGCCATCCATATGTGTGCTTCTGAACAGCGTTGGTGTGATTTTGCCCATTTTTAGCCAGGTGTAAATTGGGTCATTTCTTTGCACCTGGCTGCCTGGGCCTGCCCTCGTGTGTGAGCTCCATGTGCTGGATGAAGCCGAGACAGCACCTCTGCAGGGCGATGCCAGCCCTGCCTCCTGCACTCACTGGTGGTGGCCGCTGGGGTGGCTCCCAGCTCGCACTGCTGTGAGCAGAGCCCTCTGACAGCTTTGTACCCACATTCTGAGGTATTTGCCTGCTGCCGCTAACTGAACTCCACAGAACTCAATGGGATTTATTTTATTTATCTGAAAGGCAGAGTTACAGAGAGAGAGAGAGAGAGAGAGAGAGATCTTTGATCCACTGCTTCACTTCCCAAATGGCCATGATGCCTGTGGCTAGGCCTGGCCAAAGCCAGGAGCCTGGAACTCCACCCAGGTCTCCCACGTGGGTGCAGGGGCCCAAGGACTTGGGCCATCTTCTACTGCTTTCCCAGCCACAGCAGAGACACAAGGGCTTTTGCTCTCTCTGATTGGAAGTGGAGCAGCCAGGACATGAACCAGCGCCCACATGGGATGCCGGCACTGCAGGTGGTGGCTTTACCCGCTAAGCCACAGCAGTGGCCCCTGGGTCCCTGTATTACAGCTGATGGAGGAAGAAAGGGTTAGGGGACGCTCCAAGGTCAGCTATACCCTCGAGCAGACCTCAGCCAGCATCCAGCCAGCAGCTCTGCTCCCTGCTCCCCACGCGGAGCTGCTGAGTCCTGCACCTGCAGGGCGGGGCTGTGGCTGTCATGCTGCCTGCTTCCTTCTTCCCTCTCGCAGGATCCTCAGCTACAACGCCTTGCAGTGCATCCCTCCGCTGGCCTTCCAGGGCCTCCGCTCCCTGCGCCTGCTGTAAGTCCCTTCCCTCTTCTGTCCTCCGGGAACCCACCCACCGAGGGCCCTGCCACCCGACAGGCAGGTGTGGGCCCCAGCAGGGCCCGTGCTTGTCCAGTGGTGGGAGACCAGAGCGCCCTCACTCCAGCCCCTGATGGCACTGAGTAACGCATGGGAAAAGATCCAGGAGATGGCGATTGCTGTCACCCCCAAGTTGAGTTTGTGATGTGTGTGTGTGTGTGTGTGTGTGAGAGAGAGAGAGAGAGAGAGAGAGAGAGCAAAAGCCCTTGTGTCATTACCATGGCCCCTGCAAGTCCACCAGGGTGAGGTGACATTCTTCCAGCTCCACCCACACTAGTGGACTCAGTCGTCTGCCCTCAGCATCCCGGCTAAGGGAGCCGGGGCATGGGGTGAGCACGGCTGCCTGTGATGCACTTGTAAACCCCATGCTTGGGCTGATGACCATGGCAGAGACAGGGTGGGTGGTCCACCTGCCCTACTGCAGGCTCCCTGTGTCCTCCCTGTGGCCAGCAGCCTAGGGGCCCTGAGCTGCGCCACCTCCCCACGGCACTGGTAGCCAGAGGAGGGACTGGCAAGGCAGGCCCCCATCCTGCAGAGGGCTGGGCCTGCCCTCACCACGTCACCCATCCCTGGACCAAGTCCCAGCAGCCCCTTCTCCCTCAGGTCCCTCCACGGCAACGACGTCGCCACCCTCCAAGAGGGCACCTTCACGGACGTGACCTCCCTGTCTCACCTGTGAGTAGCCCCGGCCTCTCTGCCCTTGACCAGCACTTGGGCTGCAAGGAAGACCCTCCTCCTCAGGGTGTCAGAGCTTTGGTTGCCCCATCCCGAGAGTAAACTGGTGGACTCCCCACGTGCACTCTGGCGGGCCACCGGACTTGGCAGTGGCGGAGGAGGATGGCTTGTCACCACAGTATAAAGTGGCAGTGGCCATTTATTGATTGCTAAACACCCTGCCTCCTTTAGCTAATGAGTGCTCCAAGGAAGCCTCCACCATGGCTGCTGTCATCTCGTTTTGCACGCCAGGGACAGGCCCAGAGGAAGAGAGGAGCTGGCCTCAAGTCCTAGACCTGATAGATGGTGGGAGGCAGGCTCCGGACCCACGTGCCACGCCAGTAACCTGTGCCTGCCTGTGCCCAGAGAGGGACAAGCTCCAGAAATTTACTTCCTCTGAGAGGTGGTGTAGCTGATGCAGGCTTGCTCCCCAGACTGTTTAGCTGGTAGTGCCGTGAGGATTCTTTGAAAGCCGGAGACTTGATTCACCAAAGCGCTCAACCTAGAATTAACACAGGACCCAGCAGTTCCACTCCTGAGCTTGCTAAAAAGAACTGAGAACAGGGACTCAAACAGCTGCTCGTACTGCAGTGTTCAACGAAGTGTTATTTATTTAGATTTATTTATGCATTTGAAAGAGTTACAGAGAAAGAGGGGAGACAGAGAGAGAGAGAGAGAGATGGAGAGACAGGTCTGACATCCACTGATTCACTTCCCAAATGCCTGCAACAGCCAGGGCTGGGAGCTCAGAACTCCATCTGGATTTCCCACGTGGGTGACAGGAACCAAAATACTGGAGCTGTCACCTGCTGCCTCCAGGGTGTGCATTAGCAAGAAGCTGTATCTGAAGCAGAGGAGCCCGGACTCAAGCCAGGCTCTCTGATGTGGGACGTGGGTGTCCCAGGCAGTAACTAAATTGCACCAAATGCCCACCCTTCCATGTGTTAATCTCTAAAATCAGAACGTATCTTAAAATGATGTGCATATTTAATATGGAGATGTTTCTCCGCCCCTCCCAATGCCTGTTACATAAGTGGTGCATCTAACAATCTCAGGCTTGAGGAAATAAAACAGTGGGTGTTGCTCTTGGAAGATCTGTTCCGGTCAAATGCCATGCTGTGGACTTTATCTGGGTGACTCACTTACTCTGTGACTGATCCAGGAGGTGAGTTTTGTGCGATGCATCAGCTCCCTCCGATTGGCAGGAAGTGCCCCAAGCACAGTACTGAAGATTCCAGGGCCAGTCTGGACTCCGTGGGACGAGTGTGGTGATCGATTAGCAATGTCTGCCATGGGTATGGGAGGGGTAGGGGCTGTCCTAGGTGGCAGGATTTATTGTTTCCACTTTCCAGTTTCAGATTCTGAACAGTTAAGCAACTTCTCTAGGCCATAAAGCTAGGGTATGAGGGGCAGGATTTAAACTAGGCGTGTCTGATTCCAAAGCTTGCTGTTTGTTCTGTTCTCAGTGACCTCCTGGGTGACAGAGTGAGTCAAGTGCAGAAGAATTTACTAGAATTTACTTCCGGCCTCTGTGGCTACTGGGGATGTTATCAAGGCAGCTGGAAGGAAGTGGAGACTGACTCCGAGGAGGTGCCCTTGCTCCACAGAGGTGGCACAATCTACTTGCAGAGGAGGGAAGGGCATTCCAGGAAGAAGGAACAGCATGTGTGAAGGCACAGAGGCAGGAAGCCAAGGGCATGCCTTGGGGTGCTGTGTCATCCAGCCCAGGACAAAGGGTATTAGGGGAAGAAAATGTGGAGTGGGAAGAGATGAGACTGGAGAGGGACTTTGGAGTCCTGTTGGGAAGGGCCTTGTGTCACGCTAAGGAGTTTGGACTTGATTTTGTGGACAGCAGGGAGCTTTGAAAGGAGAGTTGTGGACAACCAGGGGTGTCATATGGAGGCCGATGGGGTGGGAGGCAGGAGTGAGTCTGGCTGGAGAGGGTGACTCCAGCCGCAGGCCAGGCAGGGCCACTGTTGTCTCTTCCCGCTGACTGGAAGTCGCAGGAGCTCGTTTGCACCTGTGCCTGGTAACTTAGGGTGTTGCGAGCTCATTTCTGTGGCTATTAGCCTCTAGGAATTCTGAGGACCTGGACTGCAGATGCTCTCTAGAGAGCTTGTTTCTGTGGGGTGCTCGGGCCGCTGCTGTCGGGACCGCTCAGGCTCCCTGCATAGCCGGGTGTCAGCCAGGTATCTGCCTGGACTCTGCACCTTCCCCGCCAGGCCCTTTCAAGCATCTGGGTCACCTGTCTCACCTCGGAGACCCCCTCATGGCAGCACTCACGCCTGGGATTTAACGTGCGGCTGGCCCCCGCCCTCCTTCCCCTTGGGAAGTGGGTACCACGCGAGTACCATGCAAGTGCCACGCGAGTACCACGTGAGTGTGTGCTCAAAATCTAGGGGCGCTGTTTTTCGAGGGGAAGTGAAAAACAATGCATTTCAAACAATAACTGAAGCTTCAAAACCAAGTGTGGCGTCTACACTTACCTGTACATTCAGACTTTCTCTAGGAGAAAGTGACCTCGGGCCTGAGGCCAGACCCAACTGACAAGAAGTAAACCAGTAAGGAAAGATGCGGTTAGCAGTGGTTACAGAGCTAGGTCCCCTCATTAGCAATTAGAAGTGCCTGTTAATTGCAGCTGGGCCCCATTTCTCTACCAAACAGCACCCATGAGAAAGAAACCGACCACTGTTATGAAGCCATTCTGTGGATCGGCGCTGCTGTTACCGCACTGGGTGTGGGGTGGAAATTGGCTGTGGCCTGGACAGTGTGTCCGCACTGCAGTAGGGTGTGTGTGCATGTGCGCAGGCGACAGGGCGTGTACACGCATGTGCACTCGTGCATCCATGTGCTGCACTCCAGAGCTGCTGCTGCTTGTAGGATCTCTTAAACACTTGGAAGGAGTCAAGGGATATAAAAGAGTGGCATGGACTCGCTGCACTCACTCTGGCCACAGGCACTTCATAGGGAAGAATGGGCCCAAGGTTCCCTAAGGAGTCAAGGTCAGCCGAGAGTCATCCTCCGGTTTCCGGGTCCCCACAGTGCTGTGTGCCATGTGCCTATGCCATGTGCCTATGCCATGTGCCGTGTGCCTGTGCGGCCCTCTTGCCCGCTGTGACGCTGGCCAGGGCCTCTCTTGCCCGCTGGCAGTGTGGACGAGGGGTCTGTGGGGCAAGGGTGTGGTGGAAGCTGAGATCACCACATTTCAACCCCTGCACTAAGAATCAAGACTCAGGGCTTTAGATCCTTGTCCCACCATCAATTTGCAGTGGGATCTCAGGTAATATATTCTCCCTAGACCTCTTCTCTCACCTGTGAAAAAGACAATTTCTAAGGTCCCTTAGAGTTTGAACATGACATAGTGATTATGAGCTCTTCACTGCCAGGGGCTTCAATCCCCTCGCGGCTCTCTGCTGTTGTCTATTTTCATGTTTACTTTACAGTTAGCCCATCTTTCATCTATCTGTCCATCTGCCCCACCATCCATCCACCCATCCATTCATCCATCCCTCCCTTCCTCCATCTGTCCATCCTTCCTTCCTTCCATCCATCGAACCATCCATAAAATCTGTTCACGCATCCAGCCATCCATGCATCCGGGAATACCGACTGTGTGCCAGATCCTGTGCCAAAGCTCCCCACTGTCATTCTTCATCGTTCCAGTTTAGCACTGGTGTTGCACTGGAAAGTTAGCTTTCCAAATTCATTAAGAAGCAGGTGTGAAAAGTAAATATGAAACGAGTAAGTAAATTGTGCCATTCCCACAGGATGGAATAGCAAGTAATTAATACTGATGACTATTATGACACTGTAATTTATTATTTGGTGAAGATGCAGAATAAGAAAATGATACACTCTGGTTTTAATGATGTACAAATATGTACTCAGGAATCACAAGGGAGTTCACTATAATTTAATTAGTTCCACTTACAGGATGAGAGATGATCCCTTTCCTCCTGGATTCCCTTTGCACTGAGTTTTGTGCCTTTCTTGGGCACTCAGGCAGGCATTCGTCCAGCATTTACTGCTGCCTGCTGGTCTCCCCCCGGCACAGCCCAGGGCTTGTGGCCCCTGCCCACGGGGAGCCGCCTCTACTACAATTCGAGTCTTGGCGGAGGAGATGGTGTTGCACACAAATAGCCTGGGACTAGGATGGGCCCGGACAGGGTGTGCTGGTAAAGGAGATTCCGAGAGTTCGGTGCATGCTGACCTCCAAAGTTGGTGACCCCGACACAGCCACGAGAAGGCTATTTCAGGGCGGGTTACATAAATAGAAGCCCAGCAGGGCCTTGGCATGAGCAGATGTGGCTACTGTTTCGGCCATTCCCAACTCATGCCAAAAATCAACAACACAAGGTTATTTGTACTTTTATGGGGGTGCACACCCGAATGAATCCATGGTCCTCTTAGTTTGATGAGTGGCCTGGCCCCTGCCCACGAGGCCTCTGCTGGGCCTGTGGCTCGCCATTCCCCACTGAGTTCACGGCGGTTCTCCTTGGGAAAGGGAACTACAGACACTGCCGGGAGGGGAGGATGGTTCTCAGCTGCGGAAATCGAGTCTTTGCAGCCATTAGAGCTCGAAATGGTGGACTCAGGGCCAGCTCAGCACCTGCTCGATACGGAAACAAGAAAGTCGAGTGTGGCTTCAGCCAGGTTTATGTCTGGATAGCTCTTTATGGGCCTTTACCCCTTACGTGTTATGATGAAGAGTTGGGAAGGGACACTTAGAACTGCAGTGCGCTTCGCTGCCACGTGTGGGGCTGGACTGGCATCAGTGTGGGGATCGTGAGATCCTAAGATGAGCCGAGGACCCCCCATCCATACCCCCCAGCTGTGTTTGCCGTGGCTTCCGAGTTAGTCTTTCTGCCATTTTTTCCTATTGAGTTACAGGACTGAAAGGAGAAACCGTTCCTAATAAATGACCGGGCCGCACTCCTTGTAGTGCACTATAAAAATATATTTAGACTAAATTCTGTATTCGTCTTTTGAATAACAGGATCATGTTATATTGCACTTGTTATTGATATACAAAATATTTATCTGATGAATGCAAATGTTTTAAATATGCCACAATTTTTGTATTTCTGCTCAGTTTAAAAGCCTTTGTTTTTTATTTAACACACTAGAGCTTCAACACAATCAAAGCATTTGACCTTCTCTGTGGGGTCCTGGTCCTGCCCAACGAAAGGGGGAGGGGCCCAGCCCGTCCCTGAGCCAGGATGGAGGCTGTCAGCAGTGAGGAGAGAGAATTCAGTCCAGGCCGAGGTTGAGCCTGCTCTCTTTCCCGGGCTGCGTTATTCCCTGGGCGCCCATCCTAGGTTGTACATGCTGTCTTTCTCCCCTCTCTAGAGCGAAGGGTCTTATCCAGTCACAGGAGTGTTCAGCGAGCCGTTCAAGGCTCTCGGGGCGAGCGGAGAGCAGCTGCGTGGGGCCAGAGTCTGCGTCTTGCGCGGCCTGGTGTGTAAGGTTGTGCGGAGGCAGCCGGGCTGCTTTGGGAGAATTCCTGTTCAGAGCTGCTGCAGCTTTCAGCAGGCCGTGCGCCCCGCATGAGAACCCCCGCCTCTGCACTGCCCACGACAGATGGGAAGCGCAGTGCGTCCACTGGCTGCTTAACACTCATGCCCGTTCACGTTCACACCACGCAGCCTTGTTTGCAAAGTAACGACGAGACTGCTGAACTCTAGGCACGAGGCACTGATTTTTCTATTTTCCTGAATCAGTTGAAGACCTTGTCCCCATTCTTCCCCCAGATTCGCATCTTGCCCATCTCCGTTTCTGTTGCTGTGGTTTAGTGAAAATTCTGAACTTGCCAAGCCAACGATGCAAGGGTTGGTGGCGTCTGGTGTGGGTGCCGAGGGCAGAGTGCTGGCCAGGGCAAGTCAGGGCGGCCTCCCTGGGGCAGCCCTGCACACTTCACATGCACTTGCCCTGCCACCTGAGTCCTGCAGCTGGGTACCTGTTCTACAGAGACGCTCAGACCTCCCATGGAGGTCACAACCCCCTCAATACCGTGAACCCATCCACAAGGACAGAGCCCCCTGACCAAATCTGCTCTTTAAAAATTTTTTAAATTTATTTTAAAGTGATAATTACACACACACACACACAGAGAGAGAGAGAGAGAGAGAGAGAGATCTTCTATCTACTGGTTCACTCCCCAGATGACTACGATAGCCAGGGATGGGCCAGGTCAAAGCCAGGAGCCAGGAGCTTCATCTGGGTCTCCCATGTGGGTGCATGGACCCAAACATTTGAACCATATTCCACTGCTTTCCCAGGCACATTAGCAGGGAACTGGAATGCCCCTTATGGCACCGGTGCCTTTATGTGCTCAGACAGGTGTATCTGAGATCCACTCCCAGAAACCAATCACTGGATGCCAAGGCAGCTGCATTTGTAGTTCGATAGGCATCGCCCAGTTCCCCTCCCTCAGAGCTGTGTGGTCTGCTTTTCGCCACTCTTAGGAAGTAACTTGAGGCTTTGTAAAGGGAAGAGGTTTGCTTTGGATCATGGTTCTGGAGTTCACAGCCCAAGCCCGCATGGGCCCCACTGCCTCGGTGTCTGGGGATGGTGTCCCTGCTGGCTGAGTGATGGTGTGCACAGAGCAGCAAGTGGCCAGGAGCAGGGGGCACAGCAGTCCCTGTCTCTTTTAAGCCACCAGGAGGCCGTGCTGAGGGCCCCACCCCAAGGACCCAACCCTCACCTCCCGAAGGCCCTGCCTCCGAGCACTGTCCCCCCTCTTGGTACCATGAGCTGAAGACTGAGGACTACGTTCCTGAGTCTGAGGGACGAATACTCAAATCACAGCACGAGTTATACCATTCGCACCCCGCTGGTAACCTAGCAATGCCCTCTTAGAAAAAGTTGTGAAATATGAAGTGAGCCTGTGTGCAGTGTGCAGCTCTGTGGCACTGCGTGCATTTCCAGTGCGGCGTGGGGCCCAGACCTTGCTTTGTATGCAGTGTTCGAAAGGGGCTCACAATGCGAATGCACTCCCATGTGCTTTGTTTGATTAAAAAACAAAAAGAAGAATGACAAGGTGTGGGCGTCCGAGGCGGACAGCTCTGTGAAACCAGGGGCTGCCCTTGGCTCGTCATGGGACCCCAAGGAAATCAGTTAGCCCTCGTGAGGCTCAGTCCCCCATGCCTCTGAGGTGGAGGAAAGAAAACCGCAGCTGATGAGAGGCCCAGAGGCACATACTGCAGCTTGGGTGCTGGCCGCTCTCTCCCCCAGACCTGTGCAGGCAGAGCCTTCGCCATGGGCTCTGGCCCCAAAAGCGTGAGTTCAAATCCCAGCTCCTCCCTTTCTCTGTGTTGTATTGGCCAAGTGCTTGGGCCTTTTTGAGCCTCAGTTTCTGCACGTGTGAAATGGGAACAGCAGGGTGCGGTGAGGACCTAGTGAGATACTGCATGTGAAATGTTCACATACAGGCTAACTGGTAAATCCTCAGAAATGGGGGCTTCTGGGACTTTTGCCAGAACGTGGCACCCCAAGGGGCACATGAAGCTGAAATGCCTGCTTGTCCCCCTCCTCCGCCCCAGGGCCATTGGCGCCAATCCCCTGTACTGTGACTGCCACCTCCGTTGGCTCTCCAGCTGGGTGAAGACTGGCTATAAGGAACCCGGCATTGCCCGCTGCGCTGGGCCCCCGCATATGGAGGGCAAGCTGCTCCTCACCACGCCCGCCAAGAAGTTTGAATGCCAAGGTGAGCCCAGTGTCCCCGCCCCTGGCTGCTGGCCCCACCCCCACCCCCGAGCCCACCTGACCCTGGCAGGGTCTTCCACACACTCCTTCGTCCTTGTAACTGCTGGGTGGGGAGTCAGGTGACAGGAACAAGGCACCTGCTGCTTGGTAGGATGTGGTCCTGCATGCAACGCAGAGAAAAGAGCCAGACAGAAAAGTCTCAGGCTACCAGGGGTTTAATCCTCCCCTGAGATTATGTAGGGAAAATAAAAATAGCAGCAGTGTTTACGGCAGTGCCCAGTCCTGCAGCAGTGCAGCGCTCGGGAGCCTGGTCCTTGCCATCCCTGCTGGAGCTGGCAGACCGGCTGCTGCCGTCCTGACAATTGCAGACTACAGTGCAGGAATGTGGTGGAGGCTCCGCCCCTTGGGCATCTGTAACCACTTGTCCAGGGATTGATTGATTGGCCGGTGCCCCGCCCCCAGAGGCCCTGCCCAGCAGAGCCAGGTGGCTGATTAGCTGCCTCTGGCCCAGCTTGTGTGCAGGGCGCTGCTGGGGGAGGACCACAGGGTACAGGCCCCTGCCCCCCACCAGTTCAAAGGCCACTATGGGAAATGAAAGTGACAGCCACGGGTTAATGAGGAGGCCTCGGGCCACCCGTGTGCAGGATGCTGTCACAGTGGTAACATGTGCTCCGCGTACACTGCAGGGCTGGGGCTGGCAGGAAAAGCTCTGCTTCCAGTTTGTGTTGAAATCGAACACGTGTGCAGAAAAGCACACGGCTCACGAGCTGATGGTGTGTTGTGTTCGCTGACTGTGCCTACCTGCATCCAGCAACAGAACCCCCCAGGACCCCAGAAATCCCCCCTGCATTCTCCAAGACATCCCTGAGAAGGGTTTTTTTTTTTAATTTAATTTTTTGACAGGCAGAGTGGACAGTGAGAGAGAGAGACAGAGAGAAAGGTCTTCCTTTGCTGTTGGTTCACCCTCCAATAGCTGCCGCGGCTGGCGTGCTGCGGCCGGCGCACTGCGCTGATCCGATGGCAGGAGCCAGGTACTTCTCCTGGTCTCCCATGGGGTGCAGGGCCCAAGCACTTGGGCCATCCTCCACTGTACTCCCTGGCCACAGCAGAGAGCTGGCCTGGAAGAAGGGCAACCGGGACAGAATCCGGCGCCCCGACTGGGACTAGAACCCGGTGTGCCGGCGCCGCAAGGCGGAGGATTAGCTTAGTGAGCCGGCTTTTTTTTTTTTTTTTTTTTACATTCCTGTTTGTGCTCCTGCCTCTTGGCAGACTCGAGTCCATTGACCTGGCCTTGTTGGATCCTAAAGCCCCTAGCGGCCAGCGGCCTGTCCACCTCTGCAGCCAGGGAGGTGACGGGGGTGGGGCCTCTCCTGGCACAGGTTGGAGAGGAGCAACTTAAGGCAAATGGACCTTTCTCCCTGGTGGGGCCTCCATGCAGAGCCAGATGGCGCTGGGCGGGATGTGCCCTCTGGGGGTTGGGGGGGGGAGCCGGCTTCCGTTATCCTAGTCCACCATGCTGGGCTGGGGGAAGGTGTCTCTGGAGGAGGTGAGGGGCCACAGGAAAAGTCAGCTGACTTCAGTAAGAGTGGCCCTCACTGCCACCTGTGTGCACTGCCCGCCCGCCCGCCTGCCAAGATTTGCTGCTTTGGTCCTTTCAGCCCTGCAGGGCTCGGGCTGTGATGAGCCCATTTAACAGAGGAGGGTCTGGGGGCCAGAGAGGGGGATGGTGCAGGGGCTAAACATGACCCAGAGGAAATACAGGGAGGGGCAAAGTGTCCTTGGGGACAGGGCCTCATGGGGGTCCCTGTGTCCAGTCCCGTGCCGCTGCCTCCTCCCTGCACTAACACCCTGTTCGTCACAGGTCCCCCGACCCTGGCTGTCCAGGCCAAGTGTGACCCGTGCTTGTCCAGCCCCTGCCAGAACCAGGGCACCTGCCACAACGACGTGCTTGAGAGGTACAGGTGCACCTGCGCCAGTGGCTATAAGGTGAGTGCAGGCTGAGCCGGGAGGGGAGGGCTCCTCTGGGCGCTGCAGGCCAGGGCCAGGCCAGGTTGCCTATGTCTGTTGTGTTTGCTAAACTGACTCAGGGCAGGCACTTGAGCGAACCTGTAATCAATGAGGTATCGAATGAATGAATGAATGAGCAAACAAGTAACTTCTAGGACAGGGAGGCCGAGCCACGCAGGGGCTGGCCATCTTGCACTAACCCCCCGTGTCTCACTGACTTTCTTCCCAGGGCCGAGACTGTGAGGTGTCCTCGGACAGCTGCTTCAGCAGCCCCTGTGGGAACGGCGGCACCTGCCAGGCACAGGAGGGCGAGGATGCCGGCTTCACGTGAGTCCCAGGAGGGCTGGAGCCTTGGTGGGGGTTGTCTGGGTGCCCGTGGCCTCAACAGCAGGGATAGCCCAGGTCTCCTGTGCTCTGGGACGATGTGGGGTGGGCTCAGGGGAGCAGGCACACACTTCGAGTCACAGCCAGAGGCCTCTGTGTGTCCCAAGCCAGCCCCCGCTTGCCAGCTGAGCTGAAAACAGAGGCCAGGGTGCTGGCCTGTGGCACAGTGCACAGGCTCACAGTGGGGTGGAGGAGGGCTGAGCTGGGGCTTGGAGCTGCCCTGCTGCCTCCTGGTGCAGGCCAGACGAGTCCTTCAGTGACACTGGGAATCCATGGCCCAGGGCATATGCAGCCAAGGCCAGTTGGGGCATTTGAGACTCCATTGACCCCTGAGGCCTCCAAACCCAGGTGCAGAGCTTGCTGGTTATGCCAGTGCTGCCAGCGCCTCCCATCCAGCTGAGACTGCCCCTGGGTGAGTGAGGTCTGCCCAAAGGTGGGGCCAAGTCCTAGTCACTCCCCTGAGGCCCCCTGCCTCCCCCTGTGTCTCATGACTCGCCCTGGCCCCACCAGGAGCAGCCCATTTCCTGGGGTACAGGGAAGGGCTGGACCTAAGGAGCTCACCTCCTAAGTCATTCCGGTGCTGACACTGGCATCCAAGCCATGTCCCCAACCTCAACACGCACCCCCTCACACCCTCCCAGAGCTTGTCAAGGAATGTGCAATGTTCAGTTGTTGGAAATAAATTGCCAGCCAAACACATGGGCGCTGCAGAAGATGACGTGGACTCCACTGGCAGAGGTGGCCAGAGCTGCCTCTCTGTTCCTCCAAATTACCTCATGCAAAAAATAAAATACTAAATGGCCTCTCTCTCCTCCCGGTGTCGCCTTGGCAACACATCCTGACAGTAGACTCCCAGCAGCTCCTGCGAAGCCACCTCCTCATTCCTTAAAGTCCCCAGCCAGGGCCCCTACAGGATGTACTGGCACCTGGCGGCCTTGCAGACTGGGTCCCGGGATGGGGGGCGCCTCCCCGAGTTACCCCTGGACCTGAGGCTCACCGGGGCCTCCTCTGTTATCTGCAGACCCTGCTGCTGTCCTGCCCCCTGAAATGGGAAGCTGCTCCTGTCACCCCCAGCTTAAAACCCCTCTGCTGCCAATCCCCCAAGCCTTGGCAGGAGACAGTCAACTTCAGGACGGGTCCTGCAACAGGGGTTTTCAAGCCTCAGGACTTCACATCCCCAGAACAAGTTCTTAAAGCTCGTGCTTCCTCACGTGTCCCTAGATTGGCAGTGGAGATGTTTCCTAGCAAGCTTAATTTCACATTGCAAAGGAAGCCGTCTCCCGGATATTGCCGGTGCTATCCCAAGTAAACATGAAACCATCGCTTTCAGTCGCTCCTTCCCCATCGCCAACGGCTCGGAATCGCACCGCAGTTTGATGCCACTTAAAAATGACCCGAACGGCTTTGCAGGAACCGTCACACATTTCGCTGCACTTGAACTTGTGTTTCCATTTCACACCCCCCCCATTTTTTTTCTAATCTATTTTTATGCCTGAGAAGCTTTTTTTTCTAGAACACCTGCCCAGCGTCACTGCCACCAACATGGGTTCCTACGTTAAATTTCCCAGATTTTTTTCTTATTCTTGGTGACCTGGCCTGCGAGGGAAAGTCCCTTTAGCCCTGAGCTGTCAGCACAGTCGCCGAGAACAACAGTCGCAACATAGCTGTGTGCTAATGTGCGATTGGTGATCATGAGTATTACACATAAAGATACACTCTTCCTTCTTGTGGCATTGCTGGGGCTCTTTTTTGGTCATTTTGCCCTCTCTCACTTGGTTCTCATGTCAGTGGGTGACTGTCCCAGTGGGAGGGGCGCCATAGCTGCTCTATTCCTGTTCTGTTTTGCTGGTGTAGATATAAACACTGGGAGAGTCTGTGCTCACAAATAAGGGGTTGGGATTAGAAGGCATTTTATTTTAGCCATGCCACTCAGTTCGTGGAAACGCTCGCCAGCTCACAGGCCAGGATCTCCGGAGTGACTTGTCATCAGTGTTATTTTTAGGGCTGTCGTGGCTGACAAGTCCATGAGGTCTCCCTGCAGTCACTTTACACGCACAGAGCTGAGCCCTCTCAGCCCTCCAAAGCACTTGCCTGCTCCCTTTCTCAACATGGGCATTCCTAATGGACCCCGGGTGGTATTCCTAATGGACCCGGGGCGGTATTCCTAACGGACCCGGGGCGGTATTCCTAACGGACCCTGGGCGGCATTCCTAATGGACCCCGGGCATCAGGAGTCCCGGAGCAGGAGTCTCTGGATGAGCTCGTGCAGAAAGGTGCCCACCTGGAAGCTACCTCCTCGGACTTCTCTCTCTGGTCCACACATCTCTGGGGAAGGCACGCTCCTGTTTGAAGCTCGCTGATCCCCAGGGCGTCCGGCCTGGTGCCCACTCCCTCGCCCAGCTCCATTCTCCCCCATCCCTGAAGTCTCCTCCCGAACCACTACAGGGATGAGCAGGCTGCTGCTCCTTCAGGCTTCTGCTTAGCCCTCTGCCCCAGCTGCATCTCCCTGCTCTCCCCTCTCAGGCTCCCTGGTTAACCCATCACCTCCTTCAGGAAGCCTGCCCTGACCACTCCCGCTGTGTCCCTTTGTGCCCCTCCCTGGCTCTTGCTCTCATCGTCCTGATACTCACAGCCCTCCCGTGGTGGTCTGTCCCTGCTTCCCCACTGGACCACGAGGGCAGGGCCATTCTTGTTCAGCTCTCACCTCCCCAACACCTAGCAGGGGCGTGGCCAGGAACAGCGCCCACAGCTCTGGTTATGACCGGTGCCCCAAGAAGATGCCTCTCCATCTTCCCCGTGCCCCACAGGTGCTCCTGTCCCACCGGCTTCGAAGGGCCAACCTGTGGGGTGAACGCAGATGACTGCGTGGAGCACGCCTGTGCTAATGGGGGTGTCTGTGTGGACGGCGTGGGCAACTATACCTGCCAGTGCCCGCTGCAGTATGTGGGTAAGCCGAGCGGGGCAAACTCGCGGAGCCCCCGTGGTGGACGGGTGGGCTGGGCCTGCTTTCACATCTGCAGGAGCTCTGCTGGGTCCGGCTGCCCGGCCGAGCTCAGCAGAGCAGCTCCATTCTCTCCCAGGCAGGACCTGTGAGCAGCTGGTGGACTTCTGCTCGCCGGGTCTGAACCCGTGTCAGCACGAGGCCCAGTGTGTGGGCACCCCGGATGGGCCCAGGTCGGTGTCACCCATCTCTGGGGCCAGGGAACAGTGGGTTGCCAAGTCAGACTGGGTTCTGCCCCCTCCCCGCCCTATTTCCTCACTTGCCCAGTGGGTGTGGCCTCAGATGGACAGGGGTGCTGGAGTCAGGGCAGGAGGGGGTGGGCTACAGCTCTGGGGCGGCTGCACCTGGGTTTGCTGTGTGACCCTCTGAGCCCGTTTTCTCATCTGCAAGCCGGGATCATTGCAGAGAGTGGGTGAGAAAATGCAGGCACCAGGCCCCACATGTGGCCTCTGATGAGTGCTCGGTCAACAGCATTCGTCCTACCGGACCCCAGTTCCTCATCCCTTATTATGAAACCCACCGAACTCTGAAAACCCCAAGCCCATCTGATGGCAAAATCTGGCCTGACCCGAATGTGCGGGTGGAAAGCTGGGCTCCCTGGCAGGGGGTTGTGCACAGTTGGGACTCCTCCCCGCTGCTGTGCACACAGGCGGGTTTTGCAGCACAAGCATGAACCTGTGTGCCTCCGGGGCTGCCCCAGGTCCCGGCAGCCAGTCACATCACATATGCTTACCTGCACGTCGCATACGCTTACCTGCAACCGGCGGCTTCACCACAACGTGGAAGTGTGGAAGTCCAGAGCCTGCGTAGGGGAGGTTTGGGTGTGTGGGTGGGTGGGTGGGGGTCATTGACCTTATTAGCATTTGCATCATTGTTTCTGGAATCTGTGCAAGGGCGTTGTCATGTGAAGACTGCTGAAGGAAGGTCGTGGGGTTTAAGAACATTGCTCCCATCTGCAGTTTTGCAAACACGGCCTCATTTCTGGGATCTCCCATTCCATGGTCAGAGCAGCAAGGAGTGGGCAGGGCAGAGCTCCTTGGGATCTGTGTCTGGGACCCAGCCGGACTCAGGCTGGGCCGGGCGGTGGCGTCACCCAGGGAGCTCACCGTCTAGCTGGAGCTGCCTGTGGCCCCTGGGCAGGAAGTGGAATCAGGGGATCCCGGAAGCCCACATCCAAGATTTCATGGCTGCCTGGGGCCTCTGTCCAGATGCTGGAGACCGCCACCCTCCTGGGCAAGCTGCCGCGTGGGAGGGTGGGTGCCTGCTCACGGGCTGAGCTGCAGAGGGTGGAATGAACCAGGCTGGCATACTGTCCATTTTGGAACTGCCGGACTTGCCCCTCATGCCACAGAAGATGAGCACAGCCGGGCCCAGGCTGCAGCACAGCCGCGTGCTGTACACCTCCATGGGAAGACGGAGCTGACACACACTCAGCTGTGCCTGGCATTGTACCTGAACCCAGCAAGTGTTCAATGCACAGTCATTGAATGAATGAATGATGAGTGCTGGTGGCTCAGCTACTGCAACATTTTTCAGACTGCAGCTCCAGACCTGTTCATGGATGGTGAATTAAATTAAAAAATAAAACAGAAAGTATCAGAGAGCCACACACCATGTTACACAGCAAGGATAGTATTGTTGCATAACGTGTGTGTGTGTGTGTGTGTGTGTAATCAGGAAAGAACCCTGATCTGCTTAGGTTGTGTGGTTGAGCAGTGGCATTTGGAGTTTGGAAGGGGCTTGGATAAGGAATTGCTCTGTGAGGGCTAGAATATCCACAAGAGGCTTCCTGGAGGAGGTGAGGTTTTGACTTAGCTTAGCCGGACCATGCAGGGTGAGAACAAAGGGTACCCCAGAATCTGCAGGTGTGAAGAAGGCAGGGATATGCCTCATTGGGTAGGCTTGGAGTGCTGACCTGCAAGACAGATAGCATCTGGCAAAGCCAGGCCTATAAGTGGCTGGTGGAACGACCCTTTATTTGATAGGGAAATGGCTAACCAAGTGGATTTTCAAGACAACAGTGAGGCACAGAGCCAGGGGCTGGCCTGGGGTCAAGGCCCCTCCTGAGAGGGGCACTCACCCTGCAGAGGGCCAGGAGACTGGGAGAAGGGGGATGGGTGAGCCCATGGGACTCAGAGCCGGGGGCTGGGGGATCCTGGGAGAGCAAGGAGGGAGTGGTTGGGAAGGGCTGAGGGTCACCCTTGGATGTGCTGTTGGTGGTGAGGGTGGGGCTCCAGTGGTGGCTCTTCCCACCAGCTCCCAGCCCACCCAGAGTCCACACAAGCTCTCTTCTCATTGTAGAAGAGGCTCCCGAGGCACTGGGGCCCCACAGACCCACTGGGACTTGGGGTCCTCTGTCTCTGTGCAGCCCCTGGCCCTGGTGTGCACTGCTGGCCACCTGGGCTCTGGGCTGACTCTGCCCCCCCCCCCCCAACCAGGTGTGAGTGTGCACCAGGTTATGCAGGTGACAACTGCAGTGAGAACCAGGATGACTGCAGGGATCATCGTTGCCAGAATGGGGCTCAGTGTGTGGATGAGGTCAACAGCTACACCTGTGTCTGTGCCGAGGGCTACAGGTGCGTAGCCCTTGATGTGCCAGGAGTGACTCCTGGGCTGGCAGGATCCCACGGGGGGAGGTGAGGGTCAGAGCCTGGGCACTGGATGCCGGGGTTTTAGCTATGGTTCTGCCAATCACCAGCTGTGCGACCTTGGGGACGTCCTGTAACTGCTCGGAGCCCAGGCAGAGGCTCCGTCACCTGTTGGAGGGGGTGGGAGGTGGTTGCTGGACGGTGCCTCATCACTACCTGCCCAGCCGAGCCTCTGAAGACATGTTCTGCCCTGAAGGTCACCCACCTCCCCACCTTGGTTCTCCTGGGAAGTTGAAGAAGTCTGGCCATCTACCTCCCACACCCTGCTTATGTCATTTTTATAAAAAATGGTTTTGTTAGATAAAATTCACATACCATACAATCTACCCAGATAAAGTATAAAATTCCATGGCTCTTAGGGTATTTTGGATTTATGCATCCATCACCACAGTCAATTGTAGAACATCTTCATTATCCCAAAAAGAAGCCCCAAAGCCCTTAAATGTCACTGCCCCCCCCACCCATCCCAGCCACCAATCTGCTGATGTCTGTGTCTGTGTCTGTAAGTCTGCCTGCTCTGGACGTGTCACAGGATGAAGTCACACAGTGTGTTGTCCTTTGTGGCTAGCTTGTCGTGGAGCATAAAGTCCAGGTTCACCAGCACTGCACTCCCGAGTGTTGGTCCACTCTGTGAATCAGATGCTGTGTTTTGTTCATCCGTTCGTCAGTTAGGTGGTTTCCACTGCTGTGGATACTGATGCTAGTACCACCTCTGTAGGTTTTTATGTGGACATGTGTGTTGAGTGCTCTTGGGTGTACACCCAGGTGTGACTTGCTGTGTTACATGGTAACTCCGTGTTTACCTGTTTTCCAGAGCCTGCACCATCACACATGCCCACTGGCCGTGGTGGAAGGTTTTAACTGCTCCACAGCCTTGGCAAGACTTACCTGTCGTTTTGGTAGCGACAGGTGTGAAGTGGCATCTCCTGTTGGTTTTGATTTGTTTTCTTGATGACTAATGGAGTTCAGCTTCTTCTCATGTACTTCTTGGCCATTTTTACATCTTCTTTAGAGACATCTCTAGTCAAGTAAATTGCCCACCTCTTAATTGAGGTGTTTGTGTTTTTATTGCTGATTTTTAAGGGCTGTTTATATTTGATAGATGAGTTTCTTATCAGATGTATGATTTGAAAATATTTTCTCATGTTCTATGTGTTGTCTTAATATTGTCCCTTGGTGCATAGAAGCAGAAGTTTTTAATTTTTATGTCTGGTTTATCTGTTTTTTCTTTTGTTGCTTATGTTTTTGGTGTCATATCTAAGAAACCGCTGCCTAATTCAAGTCAGAGATTTGTATCTATGGTGCTCTCTAAGAGCCTAACAGTTTTAGCTCTGACATTTAGACCATTGATCCATTATGATTTAGTTTTTGTATGTGGTGTGAGGTAGGAGTCCAACTTCATTGTTTGCATGTGGATATCCAGTTGTCCCAGTACTGTTTATTCAAATGATAATTTTCAGCCGGTGCCGCTGTGGCGCCGGCACCCCGGGTTCTAGTCCCGGTCGGGGTGCCAGATTCTGTCCTGGTTGCTCCTCTTCCAGTCCAGCTCTCTGCTGTAGCCCGGGAGTGCAGTGGAGGATGGCCCAAGTGCTTGGGCCCTGCACCCGCATGGGAGACCAGGAGAAGCACCTGGCTCCTGGCTTCGGATCAGCGTGGTGCTGCGCCGGCCACAGCACGCCAGCTGCAGTGGCCATTGGAGGGTGAACCAACAGTAAAGGAAGACCTTTCTTTCTCTCTCTCTCACTGTCCACTCTGTCAAAAAAAAATGTGATGTTAGTTGTGTGGTTTTGGTGGACTCCCTTTATTAGACTGATGGAGTTTACAACTTTGATTTTTTAGGATTTATTTTATTAATTTGAAAGGCAGAGTTACAGAGAGAGAGAGAGAAGGAGAGACAGAGAGGTCTTCCATTTGCTGGTTTACTCCCCGAATGGCTGCAATGGCTGGAGCTGGGCCAGGCTGAAGCCAGGAGCCAGGAGACACTTCCAGCCCTCCCCTGTGGAGGCAAGGGCCCAAGCACTTGGGCCATCCTCCACTACTCTCCTAGGTGCATTATCAGGGAGCTGGATCAGAAGCGGACCAGCCAGAATTCATACCAGTGCCCATATGGGATGCTGGCACTGCAGGCAGTGGCTTTACCCACTATGCCACAATACCAGTTCCAGTGGAGTTCACTTCTGTTGCTGGTATGTGTGGTGTTTTTTATTCATAAGGGATATTGAACTTGTCTAATGTTATTTTTGCTTCTGTAGAAATGATTGTATCATTGTTTTTGTTCTATTTATATATTACATGAATTGATTTTCAAATGTTAAACCAACCTTGCATTCCTGGGGGATGTTCCAAATGGTCGTGATAGAATCCTTTTCATGCTGGATTTGATTTGCTAATATGCATTAGAGATACTGGTCTGTAGTTTTGCTGTGCTATCTTCGTCTTGTTTGTGTGTTAGGGTAATGCTGGGGACTGTCCTCTCCTTTTCTTGTGAGGAATTCATTAATTTTCCTCTAAATGTTGGGTAGGATTCACCAGCACAACCACCAGGGCCTGGGAATTTTTTTTTTTTTTTTTTACAGGCAGAGTGGATAGTGAGAGAGAGAGACAGAGAGAAAGGTCTTCCTTTAGCCGTTGGTTCACCCTCCAATGGCCGCCATGGCTGGCGTGCTGCGTCCAGCGCACCGCACTGATTCTGATTCAATGGCAGGAGCCAGGTGCTTCTCCTGGTCTCCCATGGGGTGCAGGGCCCAAGCACTTGGGCCATCCTCCACTGCACTCCCGGGCCACAGCAGAGAGCTGGCCTTGAAGAGGGGCAACCGGGACAGAATCCGGCTCCCCGACCGGGACTAGAACCCGATGTGCCAGCGTCGCTAGGTGGAGGATTAGCCTGTTGAGCCACGGCGCCGGCCAGGGAAGTTTTCTGATTACTAATTTGATTCTTTACTTTCATGGATCTATTCAGGTTTTCTGTTGATTCTTTTGTCAGCTTTGGTAGTTTGTTTGGGTCTTGGAATTTGTGCATTTAATCTGTGTCATCTAACTTTTGGCACACAGTTGTCTGTAGTATGGCCTCATACGTCTTTTTATTTCTGTAAGGTTAGTAGTTAAGTCCTCTCTTTTATTTATGCTTTCAGTAATGTGGGTCTTTGTTCTTTCTGCTTATGTCTTACGTCACACTCTTCTTTTCTGTGAAACCTGTCTTGCAGAGTTTGTGGCACGAGCAGTGTTTCTCAAACCTTCCTGAATCACCTGGGATGTGGTTAAAAAGCAGTTTCCATAGATTTTCCATTTCTGACAAGTGCCCCCAGATGTCAACGCTGTGGGTCCAGGAACCACACTAATTTCTCAGTGTCCTTGTGGCTCTCAGTTCTCATGTAAAATGGCTCCTTGGGTGCCTTTTCTGTCCCCCTGAGGCTGCACCTTCCTGCCATGTTTAGTGAATGGCTCTGCAGGGCCGTGGGAGAGGACACTGCCCCCTTCCTCCTTCACTTTTGCCCTCTGACCTGTGTCCTTTCCTCCCAGCGGACAGCTCTGCGAGATCCCGTCCCAACCCCCTGCACCCAGGAGCCCCTGTGAGGGCACTGAGTGCCAGAACGGGGCCAACTGTGTGGACCAGGGCAGCCGGCCCGTGTGCCAGTGCCTGCCGGGCTTCGGCGGCCCTGAGTGTGAGAAGTTGCTCAGCGTCAACTTCGTGGACCGGGACACCTACCTGCAGTTCACCGACCTGCAGAACTGGCCACGCGCCAACATCACTCTGCAGGTGTGCGCCCAGGGGGCCTGGTCACGGAGGGGACTCGGGAGCAGGGGCCCCGGCATCAGTCAGAACACTCGGACACATCGCTGCTCAGGGGCTGTGTCAGAGGCAGAGCTCTTTGTGGGCATCGGGAAGCCAGCTTGGCTGAGCGTAAGACAAGTGGGACAGCTACTGAGTCGCACACAGGGCAGGGCGGAGGTGGTCCCACAGGGCCTGGATCCGTTAAGCCAAGCCTGCCAGGGTCCTTGCCCCCCGCCCCTTGTCTCAGCTGCTGCTCCCCGGCTTCTGCCTCCAGCCCTGCAGATGGGCTTTACCTGCAGCCAGAGGTGCCCGGGGCCCGTAAGCTGTCTGTTGCTGTCTCGTGTATCATCTCAGAACATCATGTTGAGGGAGGAAAGCAGGCTGGTCCCCATGGGATGGGCAGTAGCGCTACCCTGCTGGCTGTCCGAGGGGGAGGGGCGCAGAGCGGCTTAGGCTGCACAGCACACGCACTCCTCCAGAGTCATCTCTGTCCTTCCCTGAAATTCCATTCCTGATCACAAACGCCACATCTTTCTTCTCCCTTTTCTTTTGTCCTCTTCTCCTTTTTTCTCAGAACCCTTCAGCCTCTCGAACATGCTCATTCTGCTCTTCTCCCCTGTATCACCTCTCCAAAGTCCTATCCACCTACATTGTCCACACAGCAAGACAACAGCTACCCTAACTGCTCGATAAAATACAGCGCACCAAACCCCTAACCCGCCGTTGCCCCAGGCACACCCTTACTTTGTCTGGATATCCCCAGGAACTCCCATCGCCAGTGTTCTAGGGGCTTTTCCGTGCTGGCTCTAATTAGACAACAATCCACAATCCCAGGGAAAGCTCTGATTGGCCTGGCTTCAGTCACATGCCTCTCCCTGGACCAAGCACTGAATCCAAGGAGGTGGGGCTTGTGCCAAAGGTCCTCTCCTTAGCTCCCACCGTGCACAGCTCCCTGGAGCCCACCTAGGAGGACGTGGTCCCAGTCGCCCTTTCCTTCTCCAGGCAGACTGCCCTAGGACCCCCGGCCTGCTCCCCTAGCGCGTAGTTTCCAGGCCTCGGCTGGCGCCTCTGCCCTCCCTGCCCCAGTCTGGCCAGGCTGGCAGTGGCTGGAACTTGAACCAGGGACTGCCAGCCTGTGTCTGCCTCTCCCGGAGGGGTGGCCCCTGGGCAGACTGGTGAGGCAGGGCACAGCAGCTCTGCACACAGCATCTCTCTTCCGATCCCGGGTGCCCCGTCTACCCCACCTCCCAGCCTGTGCTGCTGCTGCGTGGGGCGGGGTGGAGAGAAAGTGCCGTTGCCCATCAGGTCTCCACAGCAGAGGACAATGGGATCCTGCTGTACAACGGGGACAACGACCACATCGCGGTTGAGCTGTACCAGGGCCATGTGCGTGTCAGCTATGACCCGGGCAGCTACCCCAGCTCTGCCATATACAGGTAGGGCTTCCTCGTGCCCACCAGCTGCAACAGAGGGCGGGGCCCTGCTGGGGTCCTGGGTCTATTGGGCCAAAGCCAATGGTTGCTAGAGACCTGGGCCGCCCAAGTACCAAGGGTCTGGGCACCTTCGGGTCCAACCCCAGCTTGGGCTTGAGGCTCTCGGAGCTCTGAGCAGTGGCCCCTGCTTCCTTATCCCACCCCAGCCTCACAGCAGGCTCCTGAGTGGGGAGGAGGAGACCCCTACCCTAAATGTCTCAGCCTTCCCCCAGGGAGTCCCAAGGAAGGGCAGTGGGCTGCAGTGGGCCACAGGAATCTGTGCCTTCCCGGATCCCTCCCATAGAGAACTAGCCCCTTGGGAAGCACCCTAGGGACCCACGGCAAGGAGGGTTCACACCAAGGCGCTCTCCCTGGGGCGGGGGTGCCTCGTCTTCTTCCAGCACCGAGACGATCAACGATGGGCAGTTCCACACCGTCGAGCTGGTCACCTTTGACCAGATGGTGAATCTCTCCATCGACGGCGGCAGTCCCATGACCATGGACAACTTCGGCAAGCACTACACGCTCAACAGCGAGGCGCCCCTCTACGTGGGAGGTGAGGACCGGGCCCGCAGGAGGCTGCAGCTGTCCTAGGATGGGGCCCTTTCTGCTCAGTGGCCTCAGGCTGACCAGGAGGGCTCATGCCCGGGGCACTGAGCCAGGCTCAGGGGTGATGCCAGCAGAGCAGGGGATGGGCCTTGTGAGTGGCCCGGCTGCCAGTGGACGATCCCCTGCTGCCTGTTATCTACGCAGCCCAAACTGACCGGGAAGGTTGGGGGCCTGCTTGTGCCCAAGGCTGGGGGAGGGTCTGGGGCTTTCCCAGCTGCCTGCCACACCTGGGCACCTTTCCTCTTGGCCTTGGGCCAAAAGGGGCTGCTAAACTATTTGGGGTCCATTGCCAGTCTTGGTCCTTCAGAGGCCCAGAGCCTTGGTGAGCCAGAGGGCCCCTGCTCAGCACCCCTGGGAACCGGTAGGGTGGGTCGAGGCAGGCATTGGACATCCTGGACACTGTGGAGGGGCAGACTCGAGGACCAGAGCCTGGGTTCTAATCCTGGCTCTGCTCCTTACTAGCGCTGGGACTGCAGGCAAGCCACTGAGTGTGCTCAGAGGACTGCTATGAAGAGGTGCCCACAAGAGCAGATGGCAGCGTGCCGTAGGCATGAGTTCAAGGTCCCAGGGACTTTACTGTGGGTAGAATCTCTGGGAGCAAGTGTCCCGGAGAGGAGGAAGCCACCTTGGGTGAAGAACAGGCTGCAACCTGCAGCTCTAATCCCACAGGAAGCAGCTGTTCCATTGCTTCTTGGAAAGGAATGTGGGCCCTCCAAGGTGGCAGAGGACCTCGGCTCCGGATTGTAGACACAGGGCAGAGGCCGAGGGCGAGAGGGGGACACTGGGGCTGCTCACTGGACCTCCGAGGTAGGTGGGGGCCAGGCCCGGCCGAGGCCGACTCAGCCCAGCTCTGCTCCCCACCCCCACCCAGGGATGCCCGTGGATGTGAACTCGGCCGCCTTCCGCCTGTGGCAGATCCTCAATGGCACCAGCTTCCACGGTTGCATCCGAAACCTGTACATCAACAACGAGCTGCAGGACTTCACCAAGACGCAGATGAAGCCAGGCGTGGTGCCCGGCTGCGAGCCCTGCCGCAAGCTCTACTGCCTGCATGGCATTTGCCAGCCCGATGCCACCCCGGGGCCTGTGTGCCACTGCGATGCCGGCTGGGGGGGCGTGCACTGCGACCAGCCAGCCGACGGCCCCTGCCTTGGCCACAAGTGAGCCTGGGACGGGCTGAAGGGCCACTTCCCCAACCCGCACCCCTGGGAAGTTCTGCAGGCCAGGGGCCAGGGGCTGCCCCTGAACTGTCCTTAAACTCACCTTGGAAACGGTGGCCTAACACAGGGCTTTACTATCGTGTTCCTGGGTTTCAGCTTTTGTTAACTGGGACGAAGTCCACTGGGGACAAACACAGATGCCCATTTTGCTCGCTGGGTTCAATCTTAGGAACAGAATCTCAGCCCCTGAAGTGGAGGGCAGAAGGTGTGGGATCACTTTGGGGCGGGCCTCGGATCGGGCTGCTCTCACGGTCTCTTTCTCTGCCCCCTGCAGGTGTGTCCATGGAAAATGTGTGCCCCTCGACGCTCTTTCCTACAGCTGCCAATGCCAGGAGGGGTACTCGGGGGCCCTGTGCAACCAGGCCGGGGCCCCGGCAGAGCCTTGCGGGGGTCTGCAGTGCCTGCATGGCCACTGCCAGGCCTCGGCCGCCAAGGGGGCTCACTGTGTGTGTGACCCTGGCTTTTCAGGCGAGCTGTGTGAGCAAGGTCAGGGGCCCCCCTCCTGACACACCTTCTCCAGGGGCCCCCAACAAGCTGCGTTCTAGCAGTCAGAGGTGTTCTTCCCCCTCCTTGTTCCCTGCCTCTCCTCCTCAGCTGGAGCTGCTGTGGGGCCTGGGTGTCCCCGTCCTCCAGACACGGAGCCCCACCCCCGGCCCCACCCCCGGCTCTCTGTCCTGGGCCTAGCTTGCCCTGCAGCTCCCTTACCCAGGGCCCGTGCCCTTCTTCGGTGGGGTCTGTCTGTACAGCAGAGACCACCCAGGGTACTGACTCCTGCCCAAAGCTCCACATCCTGACCCCCTCATCTCGGACCCTCAGAGCAGCCACAGCCTGAGGACTGGGGCCTCCTCCCCAGGCCCTTCCTGGCTGGCTTGACCAAGATGCTTCTGCTGGAATCCCACGTGGAAGCCGGGCAGCGGGGAGCCGCACAAGGGCCTAACTCTTCCGGGTCCCCCAGGCCACTCCTGTAGCACGCCTGTGCAACTTCCGGCCCATCTCTAGTGAGGAGGAGCCCGCCCTACCTGGCCACCGGATGCCCGCCCGGCAGCTGCAGAGTTCCTTCTCACCGGCCGGCCGCACTGCGGGCTGGAAGGAGGCCCTGTGCATGTGCATGTGGACAGGGGAGGGGGGACGGAGGATGCTGGGAACAGGGGTGGGGTCTGAGCGCTCCACGACCGGCCCTCCCCTCCCCTCCTCCTCCATCTCTTCCCGCCTCCCCAGGGGCAGCGGTGAGCCCCCCGGGGTATGCCCTGAGGCTTTCTCTCGGTGTCTGTCCCATCCAGAGTCCGAGTGCCGGGGGGACCCTGTCCGGGACTTTCACCAGGTCCAGAGGGGCTATGCCATCTGCCAGACCACGCGCCCCCTGTCGTGGGTGGAGTGCCGGGGCTCGTGCCCAGGCTCGGGCTGCTGCCGGGGCCTGCGGCTGAAGCGGAGGAAGCTCACCTTCGAGTGCAGCGACGGGACCTCTTTTGCCGAGGAGGTGGAGAAGCCCACCAAGTGCGGCTGCGCCCTGTGCGCGTAGCGCGGCTGGCGGCGGGCCGGGCGGGGTGCGGGCCACCACCGTGCCCACTCCGCGCCTGGCCTGGCGGCTGCAGACTAAAACTAGGCGAGCTGGGAGCGGAGGGGCTAGCGTGCCGGGCGGCGGCCGCCCTCTCCGCAAGTGCCTTGCACAAATAGGCGCTTAATAAATATTTGTTGAATGAGTGTGTGCGTGCGATCAGGCCAGCAAGTGCGGAAGGGCGGCGCCCCTCCTTGCCCGACACATGGTTCTCAAGAAGGGGCCCGACTTGGACCCTTGTCTTGGTCTGGAGCCCAGGCTGGCCTGAAGCCAGGTCCCGGCCCCGGAAGCCCCTGCCCTCTGTGGACCACTGGGAAGCACTGCCAGCCTTCTGGGGCGGCCGGCTGGGCTCGGTCTGCGCCTGCAGTGTGGGCAGCGCACGGCGAGGCGGACCCTTCTCCTTGCTGCCACAAGGCTGGGTGTGCAGCTGCTTCTGAGGACCAGGCCTCTGAGCACCCAAGTCGCAGGATGACCTCAGCAGCTTCAGGGAGGGCCAGGGGGACTCCCAAAGAGGGCGGGGTTCTTGGCTCTGGCCGAATCAACATAACCAGCCTCCAGAGCTAAACCCAGAGGGGCATGCCCTGGGCCTCCCCAGCCACAGGCAGGCTGCTTAGTGTGTATGAAGGGGTGTCCTCCTGTGGAGGCCGGACTCAGAGCCCTTTGAACTGTGGGCAGGAAGGGTCCTGGGAGGCGTGGCCAGGCGTCAGGAAGCCTCCATGGAAGCCCCTGGGCCAGTTCCTGCCCCCACACGTGTTCTGGGGAGGACAAAAGAAGCAATGTGGTCTCTCCCACCGTGGTGTCGGAGAGGAGGCTGGCGGTGTTGGAGACCTGTTTTCACAGATGGCATCACCAGGATGTCTGTGGGTAACCCAGGCTGGGTATTGTGGGTGTTCTGCTCTGGGGGGGCACAAGACAGTGGCTCCCAGGCTGTCACAGGAGGGGCCAGGATGCTTGGGAAGACAACGGCATTGAGTGGATGGCGGCCCCAGCCCAGGCTCTCCACGCGCCCAGGCTTAGCTGCTCCCCATCAGTGTCAGCGCTGGAGGATCGCTGCTGCTACAGTTGTGTCTTCTGTGCACGCTGAAAACCCACAGAGGAGGTCTTGAGCACAGCCAGTGAGCTGGAGCAGCTCACCCTCCTTTCCCAGCTGTCTCCACCTGCAGACAGAAGGCGGGGTTGGAGTGGCGCTGGGCCTGTGTGCCCTGCCCATGTGGATGGTGCAGGGAGCCCTGGATGCTGGTTGCCAGGGGGCATGGGCCTCTGTGGTTGTGGGAACCCGTGTGTTTCCTCACACTGCTACTCCAGCCAGCGAGTACCTCTGGGGACCCTGCAATGGGAAGAGGACTCTGCCCTGCCGGAAGTGAACTCCTGGCTGGATCTGCCCCTCCAGGAGACCCGGCTGGCTCTTCCTGCAGTTCTGAGCAAGGCCACAGTGCCCACGCTCACCCACAGGGGGACAGCAGCTGGGCCTCCCAGGCCTTCTCCCAGGGCTGCACAGCCTCCCGGTCTCCAGGCCATGTGGGGACTGGCTCGAGTGCCACTGGAAGACGCATGTTCTGGGCCTTATCAATCCCAAGAAAGGCAGCTTCCCTGGCCACCACCATTCCCTGGAGAAGCCAGTTCCTGGGACTGAGGGGCCACCTCCCTCTTGAGGAAGTACATGTGATGCCCAGGACCAACGGGCTGGGAGGTGCAGTGGGCTGGTTCTTAGGGAGCACCATGTGAGCTTCCAGCCACCCCCACTGACCGCTCCAACTCGATCCTGGCCAGGTCCGGGGGCTGGGACCAACAAGGGTCAGGGCAGCAAGAGGCCAAGAGCCTCATGCCCCAGGATCAACTCTCCCTGCAATTTAGCCTCCAGCCAACTGGGCACTAAGGACCCGAGTCCTCACCCACATGGTCTGTGCACATCAGGCTCATCAGTTCCGGAAGAAGGCACCTGCAAACCCTTCCTCTTCGGTCATCTCCACATCTCACCTCCCTTTTGGTAAAGACCATCCGTTCACCTGCGGTCGCTTTTGGCTACTTCTATTAACCACACACTGAAGCCACGAGCCCCGAGGAAGCTGGTGACGGTGCCCGGCTCCCTGCGAAGGTCTTCCGAAATGGAAAAGGCCGGACTTTGTCTCCTCCTTGCCTGCTGTTAGCCTAACCGCGAAAGTATCTCTTTATACAGAATACTTACAGATTCTAATATATATTTGTATTTCATTTTGTTATAGTATTTTTATATGTTAAAGTCAACATCCAGTGTCTCGTGTTGCTTTTCAGATGCTATGTGGTTGTGACCTTTGGTTGGGGGTTTCTGTAGTCTTGTTTGGATCAACCCTTAGAACAGGCCTGTGAGGGAGCCACACCTGCCCTTTCCCTAGAAGTATTGTTTCAGGTGTGTTGATATTGTCTGTTGTCTTCCATGTGAACATGACATTGATTCACTTAGATTCTGCCTTGCTGGTCTTTTTTCTTTGCTGAGGGTGAGCCTGGTGCTGCTGGCATTCACCCTCCCAGGGCACAGGGCTGACCCCACACCGGCCACACCCAGCACTCACACATCTGCCCCTGGAGCCCTGGGTCTTCCTGAAGTGGCAAAGCACGGTACCTTCTGAAGGGAGGGGAGGCCTAGGGGCACTGGGGACAGCGGGGTCCCAGCTCCCTGGGCGCAGCACACACGGCTGTCTGGGGAGGCTGCCCACCCTCACTCCCACAAGGGACATCACTGTCTCTGCTCGTCTGCAGGCCCAGGCCCCAGGCCGTGCACGCTCAGCAGAGACTTGTCTGAAGTCAGGAGCTGGACCTCTGTCGCTCCCCCATTCGCGGAGGAACGACACTGGACCCTCGGCTGTTCTCTTTTGTCTGCTCGGCCCTTCCCGGGTTAGCTGCCGGTCCCTCACTCGCGGAGGAACGACGCTGTCCCGGGTTAGCTGCCGGCCCCTCCACCTCCGTGGAGGGGCGGCACCCCCTGCTGCTTTCCCCGCTTCCGCGGGGGAGTGGCACACCACCGGCCGGCTCTCTCGGGGGGGCTGCTCAGATGTTCCTCAGGTGTTCCCTCAGATGTTCCTGGTGCATGTTGTCTCTCTCCTCCTTTATAGTCCTCTTCCACCAATCCCCACTCTGCTACCCACACGCTGAGTACGCTGCTCTCCTCCAATCAGGAGCAGGATCAGCTCCTGCAGCTTATCAAACTGATGAGGCAGCTGCGTAGTTGTTTGCTCCTCCCCAGTGCCATATTGTGGGAGAGCAGATGCATAGAATTAGTCCTAGTTCCAGTAATTTAGTCTAGTCTCAGTTGCTCCCCACAGACCGCCACTGCTCTCTGCCCTCATGATGAAACACTGGCGCCTCTCTAGCCCTCCCTTGGCATCTCAAGGATCTGTCCCGTTTTCTTCTCCCTGAAGTTGGGCGTAACTCACAAAATGATGTATGGTTTAGATTAGCAGGCACTGATTTTCTGTAGGCCTCAACACTATGCTTGAGCAGGTGTTGTTCTTTGGGTTCTTTGTGGGTGACAAGTTGAATGCGCGGCTTCAGCGCCACTCTGTCTACCCGCCAGTGATCACACAAACACACTTAATATCAAAGAAGTTTAATATGCTGCAATAAAATAAGCGCCTTGAAAAAGCTCATGGAATCGATGTCAACGTTAGAGAAAACCCTCCCAATACCTCCTCTAGCTCCACACCCCATCCCTAAAACCAAACAAGAATCTGAAACGACACAGGAAATCCTTCCAAGCTTGCACTGCCATGAGGGCCCCTTTACCAATACCAAGAACACAGTTTCCTACATGGCCTAAGAGGAAAGTAAAACACAGAAGCACAGAAGTCTACAGGATTTCAATATTTAAGAGACAGTACATATTCAAAGTTAAAATAACTCCAACTTTTATAGCTATACATATTGTTTTAAAGCAACTTAATATATTTTAAAATTTCATATATACACTCTCAAAGGTTCTTCAGGTGAGGTATGTAAACATTGTCTAATGAAAAATTCTCAATGTTTCAAACCAACAAATTCACAGCATACATTGAATTTTCATCCATTAAAGACACAGTATTGTCCTACACTCACTAACATAGTGGAAATCCAGGCCCAAGAGCTAACACACCCGATCTTCTGGGTTACCACTTGCAGCTTTTCTCATTCCATTGCGTTGAGGAAGACACCTCCACACAGGCCGGGATCACACACGTGGTCAGGAGGGGCGAGGCCCTCCAGGGCCCAGTCCCTAGGCATCCGGATCACTGGCTAAGACTCAGGACAGCCACAAGGAGCATGTGTGAACAACTACGCGACTGACCTCGGCAATGACAACACTGAGAGGAACCAGAAAGACCTTGAAAGGAACGGTAGAGATTCATTTTAGAGCTCCCTGAATCCACAGCTGGACCAGCAGCCCTGCCCTAAACTCCTTCCGAAGGGTCGGCGTGGCCTACAAGGAGAGATCCGACCCGGCACCTGAGTGTCAGTTACATTGCATGGGCCTCCTGTGACCCCTGGCCCCTTGAAGGCATTCACCAAGCCTCAGCCAGGACCCTGGGCTGTGCTTCTCATACAAGGTAGGCTGAACTTCTCAACATAGTAATGCATACTGGGAAAATAATGCCATGCTATAGTTTACAGAGACACCAGTGCACAAAGGCACTGGCCAAGGACCTTGGAGGAGCTCAATTTTGAAAACTACTTGTTCCCTGAGGGTAAACAGCAGGCTTCTATTGAGATTGAGGCTAATAAGGGAATTTTTATTACAAGGTAATAAGACTTGGGGAGCCTCGGGCCGGAATTCTATTTTACCCCCAACATGATCTAAAATGCCCCTCCCCCCACCCCATGCCCCACAAGTAGTCACCTCCCCAACAATACCACATAGGTCAATTGCTTTCCTCTTTGCTTGCTTTCAGGCTCAGCAATGGAAAGTGTAATCCTAATGCACCCACTTCAATCTAAAAAACACTAGTGAAAAATTCCAAACACCATCATAAATACAAAAGACATATTTCAAAAGCCTAAAAAACTACATTACTTCTATTAAGGGTTATCTGGGTGTGGGTAATTATTCTTCACAAAGTTTAGGACGGTCACAAGGAGAGGCTGCGAAACAGCTTTAGAAACCTGTTGAACTGAACACGCTGGGAGAAGCGGAGGAGTCACTGCCCTCTCTAAATGACCTACGAGACTGAACCCCAGACACGAGGGCAGCTGTGTAGGCATCTCCAGCCCAGGCACAGAGGCGGCTTGTCAAAGGGCTAGCTTCCAAAGGTAGGTCAGACACAGCCAAAGCACACTGAATCGGTCACTTACACTTCTCTTTTAAAAAGCTCTTAGACTTACTCGACAGCCAAATGAGCTCTGCTTCAGCCTGATTTGGAACCTCTACAGGTTCACGGCAAAGTGTTCATTTTTCCAGCTATACGCCCAATTCTGACGTGTCTGGTGCTGGCAGGTTTCTCATCCATTGCTGGAGTTTGACGACGCAAGGGAGCGTGCAAACAGAAGCAAAAATTCAAGTACAGCAACCTCTCCTGCCAAGGCAAGCGGTCTTCGCAAGAGCTGTTCTACCCCCACCCTCTCCTCTGAGACAAGGGCCAATGTGGACCCCAGAATTCATGGTATCACCTAGGATCTTATTGCTTATGGGCAACACATCAGAAAGAACACCTGGAAATCTGCTCAGCAGATCTGGGTACTGACCACTGACGAGTTTATCATACATCTGTATATATAAACTTATATAATATATAACATAACCAGATGAGAAGAGGGGGCCGTTAAAGCTTGGATTTGATGTAGCGTTACAGATCAAATGCCCCAAACAGCTCTCAACCTGCTGGTTTTTGTTCTTTCTCCATGTGTGAACTGTGTTCTGAAAGGAAGTCCACTGCTCAAAATAGATTCTTCTAGAACACTACAATGCAAACCAACATCACTCAGAACATGAACTCTGTATACAGCACGTGTAATAAATATTTTTTAGAAAACTATTTACAACATTACTTCTGGTGAACATTTAGATGAGAGCAAAATGTATTTCTTCCTGCAAAGGTTAAAAAAGTTGACTGTCTAGTTCAGTGCTAAATTCCCTGGCACCTAGTTACCCATTCACATTTCATCTTAACATCAGATTTGCTTACAAACAGTATCTTAGAAAAAACATTCTCCAGCATCACTGTTCAAGTGTCCTCCTCGTTTGTTTAGAAAGACAAAGGGAGGCCATAAGGAAATATGCAAATTATGGTTCAAATGGACAACAAAAATCCCTGTGTGCCTGGTCCCCTGCTCCCTGCAGTCCTGGAGCTGCAGTTCTCAGTCCAGCGGGCAGGGCAGAATCAGGCCTCAGGAAGGGGCGCCCACCGGTGGGGCACAGGCAAGAGAACACACGATCACCAGGGAGCACAGGCTCGGGGAGATCTGGGGGTGCTGTGACCTGCAGACCAGGACTCCTGAGAAGTAAAGCTGAGTACATCTTAGAACAGATGGTCTTGTTCTGTAACCACTGGTTACAGGTGGGACTGGCCCACATCTGCACAGATGCTTGCTGAGACGGCGCTGGGAGGTGCAGGAAAGACAAGCAGGAGGAGGGGGAGAGGTAGGGGGAGGGGAGGGGGAGGAGGAAGAGAGCCAAGGTGCTCATGAGTATTGTCAAGGTGCAGAAGGTAACATGCTTACCTCCCATGGTCAATGGGAGCAGAAATACACCTGAACGCTTTCTTCAGGCAGCCAGTGAGTGTGTGTGTGTTTGTGTGTGTGTATTTCCTTGCAGAAATACACCTGAAAGCTTTCTTCAGGCAGCTGGTGTGTGTGTGTGTGTGTGTGTGTGTATTTCCTTGTAGAAATACACCTGAACGCTTTCTTCAGGCAGCCGGTGAGTATGTGTATTTCCTTGCAGAAATACACCAGCTGGTGTGTGTGTATTTCCTTGCAGAAATACACCTGAACACTTTATTCAGGCAGCCAGTGTGTGTGTGTGTATTTCCTTGCAGGAATACACCTGAATGCTTTCTTCAGGCAACCAGTGTGTGTGTGTGTGTGTGTGTGTGTGTGTGTGTGTATTTCCTTGGGGTTACAACTAAGGCTCATTTCCCTGCACAGGCTGAAGTGAATGCTTGAATGTCAGGGGGTGTATATGAGGAATGGGCTGCTTGAGGCGAGCCCGATGCCACACTGGGCATAGCCATACCCACTGTGTGTTCTGGGGTAGGGTGACAGCAGGGTCAATGCTAAGGTTCCCATTCCCCACTGCATCTGCCTAAATTCCGTGAGGGTTTCAAGGCCGCATCTGCCTGCCTGACTGCACCATCTGCATGTTCCTGGCTGGGCAGGACAGCTGGTGAGGACGGTGGCTAGAAAGAACACTTTTTTAGAAAGCCCTTTTTAAGTTTTTTGTTGGTGGTTGTTGTTAAAATAAATACTTTCGTAGAAGTTTTCTGAACAGGAAAATATCACTATTTACACACTAAAATGAAATTCCACAGTGGTGTGTATCCATAATACTATTTAAATGTATCAAACCAGTCTCCCAGAACAATTGAGAGTGCACAAACCACAATGAAATCAATAAACTTAAGTGACAGTGGCTCTCAGAATGATCCCTGCCCATGATACAGATTTACAAAATTTCACAAATCTTGTTTGTATGGCATCTTTCTCCAAGATCCCAGTACTGTAGCATCAGTTACAGGACAACAGGAGGTGAGGATCATGGGAAATGGATGTGAAAACCAAGGTGATCAACGAATAGCATTGGACCCAATGGCTAAATACCAGACCATGAAAAAGTCAAAAGAGAAAAAGGTCTCCTGTGGCAAAACTGTGTTCAGTGAAGCACTTGGGGACGGGAGACTGTCCTGCAGGGGACGTCCCCTAGAAGGGGGCTGGTGGCAGAAGCAGAAGGAAGGAAGGGAAAGGCAAGGTACTAATGATGGCTCCTCAAAATGAGGTGAGTCAGGCCAGGCCAGAGGGCTCTGAACTTGTTCGGTCTAAAGCTGCTGGTGTGCCCAAAGGTTGCCACTGGCATGCTGGTATTTCTATAAGAAACCATGGTCTGGATTCAAGGCTCAAACAGGCAAAGACCAGCCATCTCCGCACACAAGTAATGACCAAAGCTTGGAGAGTTAAGAAGCTTGCAAATATACTCGATACAAAAGTAATACAGAGGGCTCCTGGGTCAAACCTAGCACGGTATGCCTTTGCGGCCAGGCGTTATTCTAGGCTGAGTTCACTAAATCATCAGTGTCGAGCCCTGCTGCAGTGGAATGTCTCTCCACCAGAGTTAAATGACTCTAATTCATAAACAAGAAGGTGACTGTACTTTTAGGCTGAATTACAGACCCTAGTAGATATGACTGTATGTCCATAATCAACAACAAATATTCAGTCAGGAAAGGAGAATATTTTTTTCTCTTTTAAATGTATAAGCATTATTCAGGAATAATGTCCAAGAGCAGCTGTGTACCAAAATCAACAGGCAAGATAACCTGAAATCTAGAAGAGCTGTCACAAAGCTGGACTCACGAACAAACAAAATGGGGCCTCAGATGACCACTGCAAGGATCAGTAAACTTGGGCTGTAAAGGGCCAGGCAGTAGCGCCTGAAGCTGTGTGCGCCACATTTAGCTTTATGTAAGAAGTCCACTTGTCCAATTTCTGGCATGTAATGCGGTGCGCCTGGTTTTCCAATGGGCAGCCTGCACTTTCACGTGGCCTGCATACTGAGAACCTGTGTTGAATGGGTGGCCCTAGCCGGGTGAAAAAGCCGTATGTTTATACTCATAGGGCAAAACATAGCTGCACAATTGCCCCTCTGAAGGGTGGAGCCTAAGATGTCCCCTAAGCACCGAGCATAAACCACCAAGGCTCTGGGAAAAAGATCACACAGACAGGAGGCAAGGGGAGAACTGACCAGCTTTGGTTCCATTCCAAGGGCAAAGGCAAGAGCAAAGACACCCTCCACACAGTGCCCAAGGTGGATGCCCAACAGAGCATAGCACAGCGAAGCCTTGAGCTGGGAGCAGAACCAGAGAGCTCCAGTTTCGCCTGAGCCTGACCCTCTCGAACGCACAGAGGCTACACACCCAAGTCTTCCAGGACACACACTGCAGAATGCAGGACTCTGGATGTTTCAAGGGATGAGTTCTACGGAAAGTGTCTCAAAAGGCTTCCTAAAATTCTGCTTGTTTTATACACAATAATATATTTTCCCTTGAAAAAGGATTTGGGAACATGCATGGAAGAGTACTTACTGCCAGGATATGAAGATGACCTTGCTGATGTAATATGCATAGTGTGGATTTCATATTTACATATAAGTTTCTAATATTTCAAGCCATAAGAAGACATGAAATTAATAGCTAACAACTCAAATTGACAATCTTGTTTCAAAACTGAAACAATTAAGTCACTCTATGGACACACTGGCAAAAATTTTTCAACTTCATTTTGAAAAACGACATAGAAACTTATCCTTAAGTTTTGAGGGGAGGGGAAAGATGAATTTCCTGGATCAGATCTAACGATTTAATCCCTAACTTCTCAGAATCATTTTTTTCCAGAGTACTTCAAAACCTGTTTTTTATCTGTTGCTTTTCTTTTTAAAAAGATTTATATTTTACTTGAAAGACAGTGAGAGAGAGAAAGAGAGACAGAGAGATCTTCCATTTGCTAGTTCACTCCCCAAATTGCCACAACAGCCAGGGCTGGTCTAGGCTGAGGCCAGTAGCCTGGAACTTCATCCAGCTCTCCCATGTGGGTGGGAGGGGCCCAAGCACGTGGGCCATCTTCTGCTGCCTTCCCAGGTGCATTAGCAGGGAGCTGGATTAGAAGCAGAGAAGCTGAGACTCAAACTGGTGCTCTGATACGGGATGCTGGTATTGCAGGCGGTGGCTTGACCCGCAATGCCTCCATGCCAGCCCCTGTTGGCTTATCTTTAATAACATTACTTTCAAACTATATGGCTGAAAAGATTATGCCAATACATTTTTGTTTGCCTAAAGGCTGATCAAAAATGTCATGAAGAATAAACAATGCTTTGAGTTTGGAGTCTGTTTCCCCTTTGTGAAGAAGTCTTTGTGAAGAAATCACATCTGTGATTTCAGAGGCTTAAAAGTGCATCTAAAACAATCTCCACTAATTTTAACAAAAATAAAAATCTTGACTTCAGCAGTAAACCAGAGGTGAATCCAGAGTCAGCTGTGTGACTGAAAACTCGGAGTGCAGCGAGAGGCCCAAGCCCCGGGACTTGAGAATGCTCACTGCCTTTCGCCCACAGCTTCTGGCTCCGCAGGCTGGGGAGGCCTGGCTCTGGTCACCACTGATGGCTGATTTGAGGGGAGACAGAATGCTCAGGCAGCTCACGTTTCAGGAGATGGTGGTCTATGTGAGGTACCAATATGTCTCTCTTCTAGCAAGAATACAGAAAAACGAAGGGGCAAGGGGAAGGAATGAAGGGAACAGAGAGATCAAGAGGCAAAAGAAGGGAGAAGAGAAGAGTCAGGGATTTGTTTTTGAAAAGGGATTATTTTCTGAAGCAGGGGGGCAGCAAATTGTTTCTTAAAGATCCAGGCAGTAGATAGTTGAGGCTTTGTGGGCCAAATGATCTCTGTTGCGCCTACTCAGTTCTGTCCCACAGACAATAAGTAAACAAACGGGCATGGCCATGTTCCAGTAAAACTTTATTTACAAAAACAAGCAACCAGCCCACAGTCTGCAGCCCCCTGACAGATCACGGAAAGCCAAGGGCAGCCTCCATTGGCTGACCTAAACCCAAAAGGAGCAGGTGTGCCTCTCAGGGCTACTGGCCAGACCTTCGGGACATTCCAGCCCAGTTCCAGGTGTTGTTGAGAAGGCACCAGACTTGCTGATGGCTAACACTACAGCGTCTGCAGTTTGTGCCACAGAGTGTGCTGTGCCTGCCTGTCTGCCTCTTAGGTCCACTCATCAATGGGACTGCTGTTGATACGTGACAGTGACAGCCCCTGCCTTCCCCACAGAGGCCACCATTACAAGGCAAGAAAGAGGCCAAACTGAAGTGATGCCTTATACCGATGATCTTCCTGTACAGTGAGAAATTCACCTGTGTAGCATGTGATGCATGGAAGGTCCCATCAGGAAGCACCACACAGGACAAGGGGTGATGAAGTGCACCTCTTCCAGCCACACTACTAAACAAACAGCAAGGCATGCAACCCACAGGCTAGGATCACTGTTTTGGATAAAGCCGTGTAGAAGTCTTGAACGAGGAATTCAAGGGACTAGCAACTGATTCACAGCGGCAGGGACACTCCTCTGAAGGAGGCCTCCCTGCTGCGCTGCAAGACTGCTACGGATCTGAGCGGCTGCAGGAGTGAGGCTCTGGACCCCAAGCGAGCAGTCTGTGTGTTGTCCTCCCACTGCAGGGGGCGGGGTGCCCAGGGCACAGAGAACGGGTCTTCTGAAGAGGCCCAGCTCTGAGGAAGCTGCGGGGGTGACCCCGTGTTTGCTTCCCAGGCATCTTCCAGCTCCTCTGGAAACTCGGAGGAGCCCGGTGGGCATCAAGTTCAGCCCCAGTCCTGGGGCAGTCATGCCGCTGAGTACAGGCCCAGGAGCAGAATTCCTGATCCGGAATCGGAATGTGGGCCTTGCACCCTTGCTTACGGCGGCGAGCCATACTAGAAGGTGGCTAGAGGGAGGAGGCCTCAGCAAGGGATGGAAACCAGAGTCCACTGTCAGCCTGGGCTTGGGGACATCTGGCCCACGGCGCTGCTAGCATGTGAGGTGTGAAAGGGCCTTCCAGGGGCGGCCCTCAGTTTTACTACTGTTTTCTTTGTTCTTGTAACAAACTTAACTGAATCAGCGAAAATGAGATTCAATAAATATAAAAACAATTCTAAACTTTAAAGTGTACTAATTATGCAGAATCTCAGTCTATTCAAATGTAGTTACCATTCTAAAGTGTAAGCTGATTTGAAAGATGATCCACTGCAGTGTCAAGTGTGTGATATAAATGCCTTTTCTCAAATGCAGCCTAGAAAGGGAGAGAAGGCTATTATTTTGAAGTTAGTTTTTAAAAATGAAGAACTTAGAAAAGTAATGGAATGAGTAATAAACTTGGAACTGGAAAAGTTCCACCCACTTACTACCTCTCACCTCTTCCTGACTGGACCCACGCACCTCCCAAGGTAGTCTAAATGCAGCCAAGGGGCACCTCTTACATGTAGCAATCTGCATGCCTGACAGTGGTAAACGTAAGCTGTTTAGGTCACCACACAAACAAGATCCAGTGACAACTATGTGAAAAGACATTTTTAAACCTTAAAACCATTTTTAAAAAAATAAACAAACCTACTCAAAACATATTAATGCTTCTGTGCAACTTAATGCTGAGAGAAGGTTGCCAACATACACACTCAGCAGTTTCATTAATATAGGTAGCTCCTGAATGGCCAAAGTCAAACACGCTTAAAATAAAAAAAAAGAAAAGAGAGAGAGAGAGAGAGAGAGAGAGAGAGAGAGAAAACCTCATGGGATATAGGAGACATTAAAAAATAAATGAGGGCTTCACTGAAGATTGTAAGCTTCACTATCTACGAAATCCAACACAATTCTCAATTTCTCACAAATAAAATGCTATTCTCCAGTCCTATCCAATCATTGGAAGCTTCCATGACATACAGTAAACCTTTCAGAGACTGGAGAGCTGGTCTGGTTTATCATGATGTGCATGAAAAAAAGTCCATCTGAGTTTATCTAAAGGGATCTGAAATAACCTAAGTGGAAAACATTTTCAATAAAAAAAGAGGGCAGCAGCTGTCTACACAAACCTATTTTGGTGACAGAACATGTTAAAGAAGCTGGCTTAGGCTTTAACAATCAAACTTCTTTTGCAGAGTGGCCCAGGGGAAATGTGTTTTAATGGAACAGTGTCACAGGCAACTGAGTTAAAGCCAATGCACCCGGTCTCAGGCTGCAACAAGGAAAAGCAAACAACACCGATTATAAATATTGCAGTTCTCACTTCTGAGCCACAGAGCAGAGCCTGATCTGCTATGGGCTGGAGTGATGCTACAAGCCATTCATCTACTAAAATGTCACTGATCAATCAGAATGAACCTCCACTCCAACAAGTATATTCACATCAGAATACACCAGCTAAAGTCAACTCTGGGAGTGGGGGAAGTGTGGGTGCACTACGAGATGCTGTGGCTGCTCTCCACCTTTCCATAACTCTGTGCTGTTTAGCCCTTTCTGAGTCTGGGGCCAAGAAGTCCTGGTGATGCTCATGGAGACACTGCATCACTTTTAGACCACCTGGCCTGTGCTAATGATGCAGCCCATGGACAATCTGGCACATTGCATGGGAAAAAAGAACTGTACTGTAAAACTGGCATTAGGAGACACATGTGGCCGACAACCACACGCAAATGTGCCCCAAAGCCTGGGTGCATAAATACCCTTGTACTCTTCTATCACTGGAAATACATCTTGGCTTTCTCTGAGTATGGAAGCACTCTGGTAGGAAAGAAAATAAGAAAAGTCATTCTCATCTTCATTGTCAAATTACAGCTAAAAGATGAAAAAAAAAAAAAAACATTAGCTTTTTCCCCCAAAAGCAGAATGAAAACTTTAGAGTGCTAGCAAGCTTGAAAAGCCAAAAATGAAGAGGATGGTTAAGTAGCAGTGACACACTTTGGGGATGCTAGTAATTTCCAGAGGTCATAAGCCAGAATTAACCCCTGTGACACCTTTCTTCCCAAGAGCACGTTATTCAGAATACATGGTCTAAGCATGTGAGCAAAGGTGAGAGGAGTGACCAACAATGAGTATCTTTTTTTTCCCAAACCAAGTAACAGAAATATTAACCTTTTAAAATAATCCTAATAATCTGCATTTTCCACATACCATAATAATGATTTGGTTTAGCTTTCAAATATCACCAAAACAAACAAACAGGGTGGAGAGGGAAGTTCACGGTTGGGGTCCTGCAAGAAGGGACACCTGTTTGGGGAGAGATGTGCAGGGCGGTTGTTGGATAGCTCCTTTCATGTGCATGATGGTGGTCTTCTCGGCTACAGTACAAGTGCGTGTGCATCAAGTATAAAATACAAGCCTTTAATCACATAGATCAGCTTTTTAGCTTTTGTAAATCTAAAAACAAAAAGGATAAATAAGGCACTGTACTTTTTAAAACGAAAACTGCTTGGTTCCAAGTTTAAAACCCAAGGAACAACCAGAATATAATATATACCTTCCCTTACTCAGCCCTGGAGAAGGACTCTGCAAGCTCCCTGCTCCACCCGAGACGTACTCTCTGACATCTCAAGTGGGGGTGTTCGCCATTAACTGTAACTCGAAAGGCTTGAGAAGCTTATAAAAGCAGATTCAGTTAATGCAAAATAAAAGTTACTTCTCTGGAACAGGTCTACTCGGGGCTGCTGCTCTCCCGTCACTTTGCATCCAGCCGCCTCCGTTTGCTATGGGAAGAGTCCAGCTTTGCCTTCAGCTTTCGCTTTCTCTGGGCCGCTCTGTTTTCTGGTTTTTTTGCCAAAGGTCTGGCGCGCGTCTTTCCACTGCTCTGCTTCCTGTTTGCGGCTTTCTGCGGCCTGGAAGAGGACTCACCTGCCCCCTTTGGCTTTGCAGGTTTCGTTACTGTTTCCGAGGCAGTGGGCAGGGTAGGTCTTTTGCTTGTGTTCTCTTTTTCTTTCCTGGAGGGAGGGCAGCTCTTTCCAGAGGACTTTTTAGGGATCTTCACTTTATTTTCTTTCAAAGACACCTTTTTGGGCAGTTGGCTGGCTTTGTCCCTTGCAGTTGGCTTCCTGGCTGGAGGGGTTTTGGTGGTTCCATCAACATGCTTTTCTTTGATGGCTTTCACCACTGGTCCCCTGTCCTTACTGTCCTGAGTACCGATGCCCTCCGTTCTCTTACGTTTATTCTGAGCTTCTGCTTTAACCAAAATTTCAGACACCTGCTTCCCTTTCCTTCCCTTCATTCCTTCAGTGCTCTTGGGCTTAATGGGAAACCCTTCTGCATCCACTTGCAAGGCAAGCTTGGGGGACATCAGCGGGTTGATGCAAACACTCTTGCGACTCTGTTTGCTTTCCACAGCCGGACCCAATGAGCTTTCCATTTTCTCGTTCTTGACCAAACGTTGTTGGGCTCTGAGCTTTCCTCGAATATTGGAGTATTTCCTAAGGATCCTGGTACTGGCGGGAGTAGGCAGGTTTGTGGGACGATGGCTGTTTCTCTCGTCCTTGACATTCTCCACGCCATCCTCAGAATGAGGGTTGAGGCTGGCATCATTGCCATCCTCTGGATCCACTTGGTCAGCATTTTCTCGAAGTTTGGCCCAGAGCTTCTGTGTTTTCCAATTATTCCGAGCAGGAGTAGCTCCAGGAAATTTCTTTAAGTGTTTCTTCAAGCGTTCCGCCTGGAGTGAGCTGGGGTACGGGCTAGAAGGAGAGTACTTCTGAAGGGGATGTTTGACTGGGGGGATGTCTCCTGGAAGACGGGTATTGAGCTTCTTCACAATGACCAGTGATCGGGTTTCTGTTGTCTCCAAGAACCACTTACAAACGTTAGACAACTTAAAGTTTGACATGAACAGCATCTGAACAGGAGAAAGCTTCTGAACCTCCAACGAGCCTCTGCATTTCCGTGATCTTTTCTTGCTCTTCCAGATCTCCTTCAGTTTATCTGACCTGTTCCTTGCTCTTGGTGTTGCCTGGACTTCCTTCTCCAGTTGAATCCAGCCCTTCTGAACTTTCATGTACTGGGCGTTGAAGTTGGCGATGAGCTCCTGGTTCTCCTCCTCAGCACACCATTCCATAAACTTTGGCTGCTCGTCCGCCACTGTCTCTGTGTCATCCTCATCCTGGGCATCTCCACTCTCTGTGGCCTTATTTTCCTTTGGCATCGGGCTTCCTCGTGCAGCTTCCTGTTCAGAAGTCACTTTCGTTGTATCCACGGAGTCCAGAGAGTGAGTGTGTCTTAGGTTGTAGGTTGAAGAGGTCAATCTTTTTGGCCTTGCTACCAATTTTGGTGGCCCAACAGCATCACCACCTCCACTATCTGATGAGCCAAGTGGGCCAGAGGGGGTGTCAGTGCCATCGCCTTTATGCAGGGTGTTTTCGCTGCCTCCCTCGTTCACAGCCTCCTCCACCTCCTGGGCACATGGATGTCCTGGCTTCTCTTTGGACTCTTCCAGGGCCCTCTTACAAGGGATACTTGCTTTGGGCACAGGAGCATTCCTCTCCCCTGTCTTAGATTCAACATAGATTTCCAGTCTCTCTGCAGGCAGTGGCTGGCTAATGGAGGCTATGGGGTCACTGCTGGGGAAAACTTCTTCCCCCACTGTGTCTTTTGCTAGCATGTTTTTAAAAGTCTGCCTGGTGATGACCCCACTGCTTTTGCCCTCCTGCTGCTCAGCACCCTTCTCTGCAGGGTGTTCGTCGGCAGGTGGGTTTTCAGGGTCCTCCAGAGCTGCTGTGTGGGCATGGTTGACAGGAGAGCCCTCGGGTGTTGTCCTGCCAGCGTGGCCTTCCTTTTTAGCATGTTTTGCACCAGGGGTTTTAGCAGCCTTGACCTCAGGGCAAGGCAAGGAAGAATCTGAACTCTGATTTCTTAGGCACCTATCAGCAGGGGATGGATCAGAGAGCTGGCTCCTTAAGCACCTGTCAGAGGCCTCGGGGAACTTTTTCCCTTTTTTCTTCTTGTCCAGATTCTCTTCGGGTGAGTCAGTGGTTGGATCGCTTGTGTCTTTCTCTGAGGAGGATCTTGCATCACTGTCCTCTGCCTCTAACTGTTCTCTCTCACATGCTGGCTCAGGATCCTCAGTCTCACTGGCTGGGTCTTTGCGAGTGAAGATGCTGTCTTCCTTCAGGAGCGGGATGGCGTCCAGCTCCTGAGTGTCTCTCGTTGTGGCCTCAGGACTGCTGCTTTGGTCATCCTCAGCCCTCCCCAGACTCGTGGGAGGCTCCAAGCCCAAGGGCGGACTGTGATTTCGTGAGATGAGAGGACTTTCTCCTCCACTGACTGCTTCAGGAGAAGAATGAGGCCTAGAGACATCTTCCCTGCCTGCCCCCGAGGTGCTCTCCGTAGTGGGAACCGAGGGGCAGTCCTGGGATGCACTCATCTCCTCGGCGTCCAGCAGTGGGTCTGGCTGCTGGTCTCCCGCAGGGGAAGACACTCCGCTTGCTATGGGAGCCGAAGCCGCGGGGCTACCTTCTGGCCTGTCCTCTTCAGGGAGCCAAGCAGGGAGAGGACACAACGGGCTGGCAGCTGGTGTCTCCTGTGACTCGCGGGGACTGCTTGGATTTGCTCTGTTCATGGTGCAAACCTCAGGCTCTTGAGACTCTTTCTCGGATGAGGCGTCTTGGCCTCCCTCCTCAAGGAGGCAGATGATCTCCTTACCAGGTTCTTCAGGGGGGTCTTCTCTGGGAAGCTGTCCATCTATGGTATGTCTAAGGGGTGAAGCTGTAAGGATCTGTGTGGGAGTAACCACTGCCTCAGATGCTGGCAGCGAGCAGCTTGCTTTCTCCTGGGAGTGTAAATTTCGGGCCAGTGTGCGAACAGTTGGCAGCTCACAGCAGTCGCCATTGAAAAAGTATCCTCGAGTACTCTTCCTGGCAGTCTTCCGGGAAGACAGTATGGACCTCTGATGCTCAAAGTGGCATTCTGTTATTGGCTGACTGATATAAACAACATCGCACTGATTATCATAGTCATTGATCCTCAACCCTGACGCCCTTTTACTTTTCCGAGCTGTCTTAATGGAGGCTGACATCATCTTGGCTCGTGAATGCCCATTAGATGCTTTGTGACCGGCTGGCACAGGGCTCGGGGTTAACCAACCATCTTTGGAATGATCAAACTGGCCCTTATCACTGGGATGTAAATGGTAACCTACCTTATTTCTTCCTAGTGAGTGAAGATGGTTCTCTTGCTTTGGCCTTGCATCTTGTTCATCTGCCTCTAACTCCTGGTGTGAAGGTGTTTTTGAGCTACACTGTAAAGCATTCTCCTTGTCAGCAGTTCTGGGTGAGCTTCCCATAAACCCTGAGTCCCAAGCCTCTTCGGATAAAGCTTTGAATGAATTTCTTTGAGAAGCAACACAGCTATTGCCCTCCTCACTATTCTCAGCTGCCACTTTTACTGCAATTAAACTTTCTACTAAAGCTGAACTCTGCATATGGTCTTGACCATCGCTGCATATTTTCACATTTGAATCTTGCTCCTGTCCAGTGGTTTGCCCCTCCAAGCTTTTAGAGATGTGGAGGGAGCTTAATGAGGAAGAATTACATGCAGTGAGGTATCCTGCAGTGGAACTATCCATTGAACTGCCAGAGTTAGGTTTAGTGGTTGCAAGTTCAGAGGCATCTTTCTGGAGAAGAGTCAAGACATTCTCTCTTCCATCTGCAGGGTTTGTCTCAGGAGGAGGGGGCTCTTTCAGGGTCTGTTCTGTCAAGTGTCGAGGGCTAGGCGAGCCTGATGAGTCTACAAACAAATCTGCAGGAGTAGCAGACTTCATATCAAGACACACAGCATCCTTTTCCTTATGTTTGGTGCTTAGCTGGGCACAGCCAGCGTTGCAAGTAGATGCATCCATTGCTCCCAATTCAGAAGGCTGTAGGTCCTCGGTGCCTGGTTGAGATTCGGTGTACAGGTCGTTCAGAACACGAATGAATTGCTTCTGATGATGAGTGCACAGTTTGACCATAAACTTCTCCAGCGGGGACTTCGAATGATGGTTAGAATCTACTGCTATTGCCTCTGCTGAGTTCTCACTAGACAAAGAGAGAGAATGAATTAGTATGGTCATTTTCCAAAAAGCCCTTTTTGTACTATGAAATTCATCAGATGTTATTCACAGTATACACAGAGTGGCAGCACTCTGGCCAAAACCGCTTTTAAGTCAGTCCATTCACTTCTGATTCAATTAGAGTATTTTCCTAATTAAAATATAAAGCCAGTCTGCTCTAGCTTCGATTTTTAGTGACAATATGCTTCATACTTTTGAAGTGACTGTTCAGATATAATTTTTATCTTGAGAAAAGGAATATTTGAAAGTAATTTTTTATCAAAAAATAAAATTTTGGCCACACTATCAAAACTCGTTGGATCAACATATACAGGGTGAGCATCCCTAATCCAAAAACCTGACATGCCTCAAAATCTCAAACTTTCTCAGCACCAACATGATGCCCCAAGTGGAAATTTCCACACCAAGACACTTCGTTTTACGCACAAAGCATGAATACTGTATGACATCACCTTGTGTTTAAGAAACATATGTGTTTAAGAAACATAAATCAAATTTTGTGTTTAGACTTGGTTCCATCTCCAAGATATCTCAAGTATATTAAGGATTCCAAAATCTAAAAATAATGCAAAATCCAAAACACTTATGGTTCCAAGTATTTTGGATATGGGATCCTCAGCCTGTATTTCTGATTTATACCTGGGTATTCCTGTTAAATAATCATTGGTTATAAGATCACAACACTGACAAATGTTCAGCACACTATATCACAAATCCCGGTTTAGAAGTACTTAAAGGACTTATAGTTTTCAGATGGTTTCTCAGCATGACCAATTAGTCAGACTTATAATACTGCTAAGAGTGACACAGGGATCCTTTTACCCCCTTCCTAGGGCTTCAAGAGACAGAAATCAATAATTCTACATTTCAGACACATTAAAAGGTAGAATGACAAGCAAATCCTGATTTGTAGCCTCTAAGTGAGGAAACAGATGGGAAATTGCAGGTCAACCTAAGGCAATAGTAGTGTACAACATTTTCACCCAAGCCTCCACCGTCACATTCTCCCAGACCCAGATCTTCAATAAACAGTGATCCACAAAAGGTTATCTACACTGAAGAATCCCTCTCCAGCATTTCTGTAAGTTATCCAGGACAAACTCTTCCAACATAACCCAAGCAGTGTGGCTAGCAGGAAAGGCTGATACTAGATTCAAGATAGGCTAAAGGCAGGACCTGCTTGAAAGGCCTGGGTACAGTGCCTGGCTGTCCAGGTTTCACCAAGCCCATGCAGTTGGAGCCCTCCAGTTTCCTGGAATCTGACTGAACTTCTCAACCCCCTCCCTCTGGATGGTACTTCCTCAAAGGACTACTATTTGACTATACATGAAAAACGGCAAGAGCACAGAGGGCAGCCTAATAAACATGCGCTGAACAGACTGTTTGATAGCACCTTCCAGCTAACACTTCTTGTTCCCAGCCTTGGACTTTTCTCTCCTCTACATGAGGTACTCTTCTGGAAAGGCAGATTCAGACAACTCCCTCCACCTTCCGCCGCACCCTCCACTGGCCTCTGGAGCAGCATGGCTGGAGTGGACGGAGTGCAGGCTGTGGAATATTCAATGCCTAGATTCCACTTGCAGTTCTGGCATTCACTATCTACAGAATCTTAGGCAAGTCATATAATCTCTCTGAACCTTGATTTCTTCATTGTAAATTTGGAGTGAATATCAGCATCTCAAAGGCTTGTTGAGAGATATCAGATGACATTCATAAAGCACAAAAGAATAGGTGCAGAGAAAATGTTAGTTTCTCTGTTCCTGACTCAGGGAGATTTTTAAGACCAAACGATGAATATAGCTGTCGAAACACCTCTAAACACAAAACAAAACCAGGAAACAAATTATTCCAATCTGCTACTTACCCTAAACTGCCTTACAAGAAGAAAGGTTACACGTTCTTTTCACAACTACCGAGACAGTAGTGTTATCCACTGGTGCCACGGGCTTCTCAAAGGGCCTCCATCAGACCAGGCTGAGACAGTAGAAACGTTTTATAAGATAACTAACTCAAACTTTTTTTTTTTTTTTATTTGACAGGTAGAGTTACAGACAGTGAGAGAGAGAGAGAGACAGAGACAAAAGTCTTCCTTCCGTTGGTTCACTCTCCAAATGGCCGCTGCGCCGATCTGAAGCCAGGAGCCAGGTGCTTCCTCCTGGTCTCCCATGCGGGTGCAGGGGCCCAAGCACTTGGGCCATCCTTCACTGCCCTCCCGGGCCACAGCAGAGAGCTAGACTGGAAGAGGAGCAACCGGGACTAGAACCCAGTACCCATATGGAATGCCGGCGCCGCAGGCAGAGGATTAACCAAGTGAGCCACGGCGCTGGCCCCCTAACTCAAACTTGACACTGATCACTGAATTGTGACTATATCAAGAAAAAACATTAAAGAAGTATTACAAATTATGCAAGGATATGGTGAACTCTGAAGTACATGACAGCAACAGACTAAAATGTACCAAAGAAGAAAAGACCAAAAGCAACTGGAAAAATGCAGAGTGTTCTGCCTATCCTCTTTGTGCTTTGCTAACTGTAATTACATGTCAGAAAGAAGTTTTAAAACAGTAACAGCAAGAGCAGGCATCTGGTACAGTGGGTAAGCCGCTGCCTGGGACACCCGCATCCCATGTTGGAGTGCTGTTTGTTTTGCTCTGCTTCTGATCCAGCTTCCTGCTAATGCACTTCCAGGAATGCAGCAGGTGATGGCTCAAGTACTTTGGTCCTTGCTACCCATACTGGAGACCTGACTGAGTTCTGGGCTCATGGCTTTAGTCTAGTCCAGCCCTGGCTACTGAGGGTATTTGGGTATTGAACCAGCAAGTGGAGGACCTCTTTCAAATAAAATGAAAATAAGCAAAAAAAATTTTAAATAAACAGGAAACATCTGGAAATTCAGGAATAAGCCCCTCCTGTTATGTGAGAATGACGAATTCTACCTTCCTTCTTTGGACAGAGAAGACAACAGTGAACCCCTGGATGAGTGACTGCTAGTCATTTCCACTCTCAATGAGATACACCAGGGAGCTCAATGGACTCCTGCACGCAGCAGCAGACTTTCCAGCTTGTGAAGTCAGCAGGAGGCCCCTGCTGGAGAACTCACCCAGGAGGCATTTGTGGCTATGTTTACCAGGTGGTGCCAGTAGTGTAACTGGCATTAAAGACTCCAGCATGTGTGAGGAGGGTGGAAGGCAGCTTTGCCACTTAATAAGTTATGTGCTCTTGCCAAACCACTCAACCATTCTGGGTCTCAGTGGAACCCTTACCCATCTACCACTTAGAACTGCTGAAAGGGAAACCTACCAAGTTTATGCAAATATCAGCTACACTGTCAGCCAATGAAATTAAATGTGCTTTGATTAAAAAAAAATAATATGGAGATCAGGAATGTGCATTACTGCTTTCTTACAACTCAAAACAGTGAAATTTCTGGATAAAGCTTACCCTTCAAGTACCAAACATTTTAAAACAACTATTTAAGATTAAAAACACTTTACTTATAAAGACTGATGGAAGTCTTGAAAAATCACATTACTCTGAATACATCTTATACTGTGTTAACATTCAGGATCATTACAGTGTACACTACTGAAGTTTGGCTATAAATTTTATTACGCAAGCTGAAATATACTGATAATTTTGGAGACTATTTAGTTATAAGTACATCTGACTTTCAATTAAAAAAAAGTCATAGTGGTAGCCATATTTGATTAAAATCTTTCTTCCTATTGGCTTCTAAATAGCCAGCAGCTGATTTTAGAGTTCTACTTCATCCCACAATGAGTATGCACTTCTACTTACCAGCTGAGAAACTCTACCCTACTGCTGCAGTGGTACTTTAAAAATAAGTGGGCTCTGAAGGAGGGCTTGAGTTTTATGAGTAAGTACGAGGATTTTCTAACAACTTCAGCTGTGCAGGCTTTTATTGCTCAGTTCCTGGTTCCTGGATTGTTACTGATGTTTCCAAGAATATATTCCAAGTGTATTTTAACAACACACGAAGGCAAAAAGGTTTGACAAAGGATTGTGGAAAAAGATTAAGAAGCACTACAGCATCTTCATGTAGAAAAAAACTGAGGTGATACCTGGCTCTCCTTGCTACAATGCTGTGAAATGCATACAAGCATACTTTAAAAATTTCATGGAAAAATGGAATTAGTGAGTTTACTTTTGTGCAAAATATTTTGTCAAAATACATGGAAAATGTGTATTATGAAAAAACTATACATGAATTTCAAAGCCTGCACTGGGGACTGGTGTTGTGACATAGTGGGTAAATGCACCACCAGCGATGCCGACATCCCAAGTGGGCGTTGGTTCATATCTCTGCTGCTCCACTTCTGATGCAGCTCCCTGCTAATGGCCTGGAAAAAGCAGTGGAAGAAGGCCCAATTTGGGCCCCTGCTGCCCACATGGGAGACCCTGATAAAGCTCCTGGTTCCTGGCTTTGGCCTGGTCCATCCCTGGCTGTTGTAGGCATCTGCGGAGTGAACCAGCAGATGGAAGATTCTCTCCTTCTGGCCTGGTCCATCCCTGGCATCCTTGTTTTAGTTTCTTATAATCCGAATATTTATTTTTAAAAAAGTAACTTCAACTTCCTAAAGTTTATTTCTATTACTGTTTTCTTCATGTCAAAATAAAATGGGCATTAGTCAGCTTTGCCTAAGTTTTAGATGGCAAGTCTTTAGCTTTGCTTTTATTTACTCAATGTTTCCAGTGCCTTAGACCTTGACTAGAACCTAAATACAGCACTTGCATTAATCTGAAACACTCTTAGGCAGCTAGTAGCTGGTAGGGAACCCAGAGAGGCAGCTTCTGTCCTGCAGACCATGTCTCCAACTCGACCAAAGGGGAAGCAGTATGCTGTAGTTCAGTGGTTACAGTCTGTATCACACTCGTCCTTCCCATCCAAGAAAAGACGACTGAATATTAAGAGAATTCATTACAGACATGAAATCACTGGAGTTCA